AAAATTAGATGTTAATAGAGCAGTACTAATATCATAGTAGACCATAATTCTTCAGAGTCACTCTTGTATAACCAACATGCTGACTGCAGTGGACAGATGGTTAACCATCTTTGATCGCAAAAAGAAGGTTGGGGTCGCGTAACTTGACTTCTCTAAAGCTTTTGATGGGGTCGATCATATGTATCCTACCAATAAGCTGAAACAAATAGGTACCAATTCACCAACAATTTATTGACTTACGTCATATCTAAATAACCAACATTTTAAAGTCAGGGTAAAATTCGTTTTTTCTCATACTAAAGGATGTCCTCGTGGGATTTGCGAGGTTTCAGTCCTAGAACTCCTTATTTTCTTGACTTATATAAACGACTTTTCTCAGCATTTGTTGTCTGATTTGTTACTTTTTGCTGACGACGTGGAACTCCGGGGATAAGTTCGCCACCAAAATGACAAGCTTGCATTTTGGAATGATCTGACTGGACTTCAACTTTCGGCGGACAACAACAGACTTACCTATAACGCTGCGGGACTATAACTTGTGGGCACCTCGATTAAAAGTTTTTGAGCGATCTCACATTGCTTGTCTCAGTACCGAATGCTCAAGTACGACCGATTTACAGCGAATTTTAAAGGCGTTATAGTTGAGCCGCTACGACAAATTGGATTACGTAGAAGTTCCCTTATTTGTGATGGTGGTGGTCAAATGACCCATGAACCTTGTGCAGACTATCGTGATGTTGTTTTTCGATGTAATCTATTTTTGAGGAAAAAGTCTGTCAAAACAGGAAATTTTTTCTCTCAATCCCAATTGAGGCTAATACGGATTATGATAATTGTTGCTCACAGGATAACAAAGTCACTAGTAACAATGGCTGCAACCCTTGCAGATGTTACGGAAGCTTCGGCAGTTTACTGGAATGAGTGTTGTTGAGATATGTATGCATTAGAAATGATAAGCTTGCATGAGTCATTTGGACGAGTTGGCAAACTCGTAGAAATAGACGAAGAAAACGAAATTCAACAGAGAAGAAATTGTTAAAGAAGACTGTTTAAGTAGCATTTCAATATACTTAACGGGTCCTAGGTATATACGACAGAAATTTCAAAAAGGACAATTCCGGAACGTCAGAAAGTGACAAAGTACAACTATAGTGCCAATTATAAGAGGGTATGGGCAGCCGAGAAAGGAAATATACACGGATGACAAAAGAGCATATCGATGCTCATATAGGCTTGTTTATGTGCATCCTATCGCCGTCCAAAAGCGCCATTTTGTAGGCCACACCACTGGAGTACACCCAAAAATATGGTGGCAATTCGGTTGAGGCTGAAACAACATTTGCGACCTTATAATAGCTCCAGACGTTGACTATTACCCTGTTTCCTGTCTAGCTGACCTTTTATTTTTATATATAAATGCTCTTAACAAGTATATGTATGACCAGATTGTTCGAAATGTATTGCGCTAATATATCACATAATTCTGATAATCTTCGTCTTCTAATATCATTATCGAAATATTATAGAGTAATCTTGATAAGTTACTGTATCGTATACATTATGATTTCAGAACAGCAGAGCCTCTTTCTAACCTCGAAAAGCTTTTAAAATATGATAAAGGAGTGTAATCACTCTGATTTTTGCTTTTGTATAATATATTCTTACTCCGTACTGTTTTTCTGATTGACTGAAATTCTTTAACTTCACTTAAGACTTATTCAAAGGTTTTCCACAAATTATAGTTTAGCTTCCTTTTCTTCATCGCTCCAGAAGAATAGAAATACAGAGGAACGCATTCCAAGACGAGCGACAAAATCAGCACGGGGAATGAAAATTCAAGCTATATGAAGTGCGCCTCAAATCACTGATTCTTTACCCATTATGGTGTATCTTAGATGTAATTTATGATTTACGGCATCCGAAATACTCCTGAAAATCCTCTTAAGTACCTACTTAGGTTCAGTCCCAACACAAACCTAGGAAGAAATTCCCAGAAACTGGAGACGCAACACGGTAGGGCGGACTTTAGGCACACCTTCTACTCCTTAATAGTAGTCAAGTTCTGAAATTCACTGTCGGTTGGGCTAGTTCAAGTGAATTACCAAGAGTCCTTTTAGCGAAGAATTGATATATTCTTAAAAACTAAGGACAGTATCCTTCTCTAATCCACTAATATTTTTCTTTTTTTATCGTTACACATAACTAGGTTCCAACCTGGAAGCACTGGGGATCGACTGTTACTAGATACGGAAGCTCGTCAAGCGAAAGCTTCTTCTACTTCATCTAGAAACATTTAACACATTTTAATAACTTCGAACCAAAAACAGTTTGGGAATACCTACATAGATGTATGTAGTAAGAACTCGAATCCATCCGGAGCACCTCTGGGGATACTGCCTGTCCCAGGCCTGATTAAAGGATGAGGAATGGGCATGGGGTTAGCGACCATATCCACTAGAAAACTAACTCGCTAAAAACACGCCAACCAGAAAAAAATTATTCAAACCATTTAAACTCTGCCCTGGGAGTTAGAAAGTCTTCATTTAGAAGAGTAATGACGCCTCATGGTGAGAGCCGAGTTCCTTCGGAAGTCACGAGGCCGATACCCCTTCTGACTACCAGAGCAACAATTAACTTAGGTACGTGGAATGTTTTTATAATGTAGGAGACTAGAAGAGTCATGCAAGTTGCGGCAGAAGTGAAAAGATACAACCTGGAGGTGCATATAATTTGTGAAACACATTGAACGCAGGTTTGCCAACAAAGACTAGCCTCACGAGAGCTTCTGTTATGCTCTAGCCATGAAGAAGAAAATGCCCCACATACACAAGGAGTTGCATTGGTGTTATCCAAATAAGCACAAAATACACTTATAGGATGAGAATCTCATGGACCAAGGATCATCAAAGCCTCCTTCAAACACAAAGAGGGCATTTCAGTGAACGTCATCCAATGTTATGTGCCCACCAACAACTACAATGAAGCCGATATAGATCAATTCTAAGATGAGCTGCAGTCAATCGTCGAGTGGTGCCTAACAAAGATTTTGACCATTCTGATGGTAGACCTAAATGCCAAGGTTGGAATGAACAATACCGGATATGAAGACATCATTGGACGACATGGACTAGTAGAAATGAACGAAAACAGTGAGAGATTTGCAAACCTATGTGCCTTCGAAAAACTGGCCATAGGTGGCGCAATATTCTCACATAAGCTAATACACAAAGCCACATGGACATCACCGAATCACACTACACAGAACCAAATTTACCGTATTTGGATCAACAAAACGTTCAGGAGGACCATGGGGGACGTGAGAACCAAGAGAGGAGCTGACATAGCATCAGATCATCACTTGCTGGTCGCCAAGATGAAATTGAAACTCAAGAAGCACCGGACAACGGCGCGGACAACATCACAAAAGTTCTATAGAGAGGGAACTACTACGGTGAGCAACTGTAAAGAGATCAAGGAGGCAATCATTTCAACACGTCGTGAGGTTCTAGGCCACAAGAAGCACCATCATATTTAGTGGATCACCATCTATACACTGGATATGATTCAAAAAGGGAGGAACAAGAAGGCAGCAATCAACATCAGTCGAGGCATTACTCTACTCTCAACGCCAGGAAAAGTCTTCAACATGGTATTGTCAAACAGAATGAACGACTCCGTAGACGCCCAACTTCGAGACCAACAGGCTGGATGCCGTAAGGATCATTGGCGTACAGACCAAATCGCAACATTACGGATCATTGTGGAGCAACCAATTGAATGGAATTCATCACTCTACATCAACTACATCGACTACGAGAAAGCATTTGATAGCGCTGACAGGACAACACTATGGAACCTTTTTCGACACTATGGCGTGCCTGGGAAGATAGTCAATATAATACAAAATGGTGGATTAAAGTGCATAATCGTGCATGGAGGACAGCTTACAAACTCGTTCGAAGTAACGAACGGTGTCATGCAAGGTTGCTTACTCTCACCTTTACTCTTTCTACTGGTGATCGACTGGATCATGAAGACGTCAACATCTGGGGGGGGGAGAAGCTTGAGATACAGTAGACAGCCAGGACGCAGATGGACAATCTAAACTTCTATTGCACACGCAACAACATTTACAAGAAAAGACTATCAGTGTAGCAGCAGTCTCAGCAGCAGTAGATCTCAACATGCACAAAGGGAAAAGCAAGATTCTCTCATGCAACACGACATGTACCAATCGAATCACACTTGACGGAGAAGATTTGGAAGATGTAAAAATCTCTACCTATCTAGGCAGCATCACTGATGAACACGGTGGATCGGATGCATATGTGAAGGCGCCGATCGGCAAAGCAAGAGCAGCATATCTACAATTGCAGAGCGTCTGGAACTCAAAACAACTGTTTGTCAACCAACATCAAGGTCAGAATTTTCAATACAAATGTCAAGGCAGTTCTACTGTACGGGGTGGAAACCTGGAGAACTACATCCGGAAGATACGAGTGTTTCTTAACAGCTGTCTACGCAAAATACTTACGATCCGTTGGCCAGACACTATCAGCATTAACCTACTATGGGAGATAACAAACCAGATCCCAGTAGAGGAAGAAGCGCTGAAAGTGAACAGGACACACATTGAGGAAAGCACCTAATTGCGTCACAAGGCAAGACCTCACTTGGAATCCTCAAGACCAAAGGAGGAGAGGAAGACCAAAGAACACATTATGCCGAAAAATGGAGACTGACATGAAAAGAATGAAGAACACTTTAGTAGAACTAGAAAGGAAGGTTTAGGGCAGGATGGGTTGGAGAGTGCTGGTCGATGGCCTATGCTCCACTGGGAGTAACAGGCGAAAGTAAGAACTCGTTGTGATCAAATATGATTAATATAAACTGTAATACCGTGTACCTGAAACCGTACAAGGCAAAGAGTAGAGATTCCAGAGAAATCAGTCGATTTACATAAGGTTTTGATATAGCTATTGGATGTAGGAAATTGTTTTACTTCACCAACACAGAAACATCCAACCTTGAATATACGACCTTGGGATACTTCTTGTAATCCAAAGATGACGGTGATTGAGGAAATGTAATTAATGGTATGGGATTTATTATGGTTTCAGAAAATTCTCCGGAAATGATGAGGAAAATATTAGGGAGATATGTTCATCACATGTACGCGTATATCCTAGTGCTAAAAGTGCTCTGGACTGTAGGGATGTTTCGGCCAGCTGCAAGGTACAGTGTATATTCACCTTTTTATCTGGATTAGATTAGCATTCAACCAGCTGTTAAATACTTTTGGGAATATCAGTATTATGTAACACGTCTCATTGCACGTCATCACGCAAGTTCACTGATTGCCTATGCAATTAAACGTAGGTAGATATTGTACAACTATTATTGTTTTGCAGATGTTAAAAAAACAGATTCTGACGAAGATATACATGTAGGTATGGTGCGGTTGCTGAATACAGAGACAGGAAAGAAGTTGCTTTTGCGTTCTTTCACGGACCGTATCACGTACATTGATTTTGCACTCCGCAGCGAGGCTCTTTTAGGCATCCTTGACCACTCTGGAGCAGTTAATGTTTTTAAAGTTAGTAATCTGTACATTAAAAATTCCAATTTTTGGAAATGTAGATTGATCAAGGGTTGGGTTCTGAAGACCCAATGACTTCGTCGTTATTCTTCTCCTTAAATCCACCAGAAAATTTTGTTCCTTTGGATATTTCTTCACTCGTGTGGTGTCCGTGGTTGCATGGGTCCAAAACTGCACTCCCACTTGCAAACGATATCCATGATGATGTATTTGTCCCACCACGTGACCCAAGCCTTCTGTTAGCATATTCTACTCATCATAAGGTACAATGTTTTTGCAATTTTGGTCCAATTAAATCACGTTCCACATGTCATACTTTTTTAAAATCTGATTCTTTAGTGTGCTTTTAATATTATTCATAATACGTATGCTCCGTGACGAGTATTTTGTTCTGGTTCTGTTGTTTTGCACTTGTCGACAGATCTAGTTTCATTGCATTGGTGAGCATATTGGTAGGACCATAATGTGGACACGACAGGTCATCCCACTCTGAATTATCTACAAAAGAAGGTGCTAGTACTTGTCTAAAAAAATCATTTTCAACAGTGTTACAACCAATTGTCAAGTAGTTTGTTCCCAAACTTGTGAAGTAGTAATATGCTCTCCATAAGGTATGGAAAATGAAGGGATATCAAATACAAAGTCATTGTTAAGTGGTTTTAATGTCAATTCACCTCAGATCCTATCATTCTATTTGGTTTTAAATATCTTTGGCTGAAACCAGCAACATTATATTTCGTGAATTGTCGGCTCTCCGATGCTCAGTAACTGAGTTGTGGGGAACTTTGGCTCCTTTCATCATTTTGATGCTGATTCGATATTCATAACCATAGTTTGGAGCTTTCTGTTCCCACTTACGATTAGTCCATACAAAGGCATGACTACAGTGATTTGTTTTCCTGGCCGTCCGGTGCTTCCAGGTTTTCAATAGTGGTCTAGCTTAGATCAACTCGTGAATTCAACTGAAAATACTACAATCTCCACAGATCTCCATACTGATATAGATGAAGATCATTACTATGATCACTGTCTTCGGAGTTAAAGTCAATGTAATCGCAAATACGGTTCGCGGATGGTGGCAAGTTCATCTTTAATGGATAAGGTTCTTTTGGAGTTTCGAGGCTTTTGCATCAGCCTCATGTTTCTTCTTCTCATAAATGGGATTTCCGTGTCCGAAATTGTGAGCCAGATTTGAATACTATTTAAATAATACGCCTGGCACAAATGTGTAATAATTCAATTAGCCATATCTTATATCAGTACACCAAGATGAAAGCATTGAGATCAATGCAATCGGAAATGGTCAGTTGCGAAAATTTGAAACGTTGTAAGGTCGAGAGTTTTCAGTGATAAGGAAATCTTTTCGCAACTTTAAATAACAGGAGTTCATCTTTCGAAGCTAACTTGACGTTTATACAAATGAATAACTGGCCAAAAGTGTATAATTATTATTTAACCCGGTTTGATTCGTTCCATACTTTTTATGTGATCACAATAAAAAAACTAGTAATTACTATAGTACACATCAGTCACTAATAACGGTAGCTACATTTTAACGTTCCTATTACTACTTCGAGAATGAAAAAGGACAGATTCTCCATTTTATCCAAAATTAATATACGTACTAATTTTAACGGTCCTTATTAATTCAATTCTGGACGTGCCACGAGACTGGATGCGTAAAAAATACTTTAGAGAGCCAGAATTGTATATAAATAAAAGTGTCTGTAAACAGCCATTTTTAAATGACATTTTAGCACTCGTGATGTAACATAATTATTTTTAGGCTGGTGTTTTTCGGAATTAACACATAATTATCAATCATTCATGGCTGTTTTCAACTCAATCTTATAGACAGTTGTTAGTAGTACTGTTGTCCATCACTTGTCGATCGGTGTTCTAATTATTAGTTTTAACAATGCCTAAGCTTGTGATTCTAGCACACTTGGAACTATTTTCCGTGATATCCCGTTCAAATCAGTTGTTGTAGTTTTCCACTCATATAAAGTTGTCAAACTTCATTACTTTAAACATTGCATTTGACTTCAAATATATTAAAATATGTAGTAATTGGTAATTTTTATAATAAGTAGTAAATTTATTTATTTAATTTGAATAGAGAAGTTACATTTTTGTTAAGTTTCAAGTTAAAACTCCGTATTTTGGAAATTATGGTGAACAGAGATTGTCAATTTATTATTTTAAAGGTAAAAGTTATAAATGTGGGTTTAGTTGTTGAACTTCTTCAGAATCACTTTTCACAAGATGTTCAGTCGGAAGTATCAACGTCTTGGAGTGAAAAACAACTTATTGATGCCATAGAAGGATGTACAGCAGATTCATTATATTATGCTGAGTTATCGGATCATTCTGATGCGATTACTGCTTTGTCATTAAGTCGTGATGCTACTTGTTTGGGTTCTGCCAGTCTGGACGGTAAAGTCTGTATATATTCCTTAGTTAGTCGAATGGCTGGCAATATGAAGTATAAACTGAGGTTAGTTTGTTCTTTCGGACTATCTATCATTTTCTAGTGCCTGCTATTATTTGATTGTACATGGATATATTTAAACTTTATACTAATCGGTCCACTATTATCATGTTGTGTAGTGTGTGGCTACGTTGGAACCAACATTTTGGTGCAACAAATTTGATGTTGCATATCTGGGGTTCTGTCAGTCATCTTAGAGGAGTAACTGATAAGAATCCCTGTTGACCTAGGCTTTGTGCTAGTTTACCATCGTATTTTCGGAATCTTATGAGGACATGCCTTTCGTGGGATTTGAACTCTTTATCCAATATGATAACCTTTAAGTCGGTTTCATCCAACTGCTATTGCCTCAACCACATCAAGTTAATCCGTAATGACTACTAAATAAGTGGTTTTAGGATCACAGATCCTTAGGTAAACCGGTTGGTGTAAGCTTCTCAACTGACGTAATTAGAGGGGTGTTTGTTAGATTATTCTAAACATGATTTTATGACACGGAATAGAAATATCTAAGAGTGGCTAGATAGTATCGTCTTCCATACTCTGGTGCTTTAGTCCTTTACCCGTGAAAAAAGATTTTCCCAATTTTTTACTGGTTTCTCAATGTAGCTGAGTTGATGTCCTAATGTAACCTTGCATTTTATTTGACAATGGAACGTCTCGTATCACAATGGTTATTAAAGTTAACTACAAACATTCCCATTAACTTTATTAGGATAGTCACTTTAAAAATTCATCAATCGACTTCATGGATATCGTTGAATACTCCACTTCCTCTTATATTCCGTTGTTTTTAACCGTTATAACCTAGAATAATACTCTGATTGTTTATAGGTTAGCTTGATTTATCCTTGACATATTCAACTTCCCACCTATCTAATTTATTAAGCATTGTAAAATTGTAACTTATCTACCAAATACTGGTTTGATATACCCTTTTTCAAGTCATAATATTTGTATTCAAGGACCAGTATCGGTAATTGATTCAAATGACCACTAACTTAATAAAAGTTAAATCCCGTAATCCATAAGCTGTCGCTGTTATACTCAGTCAAACAACTGTTGAGCTATTCTAGGTAATAACAACTGTATATTTTGTTTCACATCACAGACTGACTTTGGTTAGGCTATTGAACATCGAGGTATATTAAAGAACTGTTCCGTCCCAATATGGGACTGCTCAGTTGTAGCCATCCACGACCTCATAAGAGATGGAGTTTAGGACCTCTAGGCTTCTTAACAAGCGCCTAACCTTCGGATTACTGAGTTTGTATTGTAAAACTCCAAATTCAATAATCTTCACATCTCATAATAACAACTGAAATACATGTTTCAGCGAGTTTTTTTTTCGCTAACTAATAAAATATTACTTATTTTAAGCGTAGTTAGTTTTTTTTTAAAATTTGAAAGTACTTTTTCTCATTCTTATACTCTTAGAGCTATACCAACATAGTGAAAAAGAGATTCATTTGTTTGTTTTCGTTTGCTATATATTCACATAATTTAGGCCAATTCATGTATTTTCTCCTCATGGTGGACTACCATTGTATGCTTTAATATTTCTGGACAACGTGTTGCATAATGATGAAAGGTACATTTCGTTTCCTTTGTTCAGTCAATTCATATATTCTTTTTTATTAATGTTATCCCATTATTGATCATAAGTAAAACACTTTGTAATTTTATTCTATTACAGTTATCTCGTTCGGTTTTTTTTCTATAGGGAAACGAAGTTAACATGTTCTCAATCACACACAAGATCTAAATATTGTATACTGAATCTTAGGTTCTAGTGTTTATCGATAATATACTAAAATTTTTGAGCCTAAATTCATTACTTGCTTATGTATCTATCAAGAGGAGTACACTCAAAACTTTGAAACTAATATACTATCTAACAAAATAAAGGCGGAATTTGTAACATAAAATGAATTCATCATTCGATTATCAGGTTTCTGATCACCACCTTGCTGTAAACCACCCGAATTTACAGCATACAGCAGAATTTAAGAAATAATAAGAAGTCGGCATACTTAATTATTGATAAAGTTAAAATGTTAACTTGGAGTAAAACAGCAAACCAGAATATTCGAAACACAGAAACCCTACATTATACAATGTAAGTGAGCTGAGTTTTATTTATGTGTATGTGGAAAATCTACATGTATGGGGAAAGGAATATGCGATCGAAAATAATAATGATGATAGTTATTGTGGCTTAAGACAATAATCGATGTCACGCGTTAAATGCATTAATCGGCATTCCGACTATGATTTTCTCTATCTCGTGTCTACTATTTCATTTGCATCCTAGTACCCTGGACTTAACCATTTACACCTCGAACCCTCATAGTTAATTCTAGGCCGAGTCAAGTTAAGCTCCTATTAGTCTTCTATACTCAAGCCTTCTATTTCCGAGCTTGGGTCTAAGAGAAAAGCCAGCAACCAGCTTCCATTATTATCTAATTCAACCATGACTCAAAACTCATGCAATAATATAATTGAAATGATTGACTACACAGCACATCAAATAAAAAAAATCATACTTTAAACACAATCATACCATAAATGATACCAGACAATGCACAATTAATTAGCTATAACTAAGGGATGGTAAAGTGTATAGCGACAGTTGATGGATCCATCGGAAGCTTACGATAAGAGGAATGTAGAAATACAATTTTATAGTTAACTGATTAAACAATGTAGTTAATAACAAACAGATAAATAGCTCCATAGGTTTCAGTATTTACCCCATTATCACAATCAAGCTCATAATAAGTCAATACATAACTAAACGAGAAAAGTAAGATTTCTTTGTCTCATTCAGTAAATGCTGATGGATGCCTTAGCTCATGGTTATAGAGTAGGTTTATAAGATTTGTTATAAAGAGCATGTTCCAGCTTTTTGTAACATTGGTTGACCAATTGATGATGATATGAAAATTTTGTTTTGCTATCTAACTTAATCTTTTTTTTCCAATATTTAGTATAACATGGAGTTATCTTTTAACCGGTGCAGAGTCTAATCGTGAAATACGTCTTTGGTCATGTTCCGATTGGTCCTGTCTACAAGTTATAGAGTTTTGTTCTGTGATACCCAGTACAGATTTACTAAAATCTTTAAATATTTCATTATCGAAATCGAGCATCATATTAGCTGTTGATCAATCCGCCTCTTTTCTAATTGCCACTGATGTAACACGAAGAGTAAGTAAGCATAAATGTATATGTGCTTACATACAGTTTTTCTTTTTAAAGGAAATTATAGTTCATGTATTTCATTGAAATTATTAAATTAATACTTTTTCTCCTGGTGCGTTTGCATTGTGTTCTGCAGTCTAATTCAGTTATGATACACACTTCCTACGGTTATCCAAACCCAATATACAAATTAGATGACTGAAATAAGTACAAAGGTTTAACTACTAAAACCGAATTATTATCTCAACAAACATCAGGATATATACAATTTTACTTCTGACTCAAACAAAGATATGTATTTTAATACTGTCAATTTGGCCTAGTTTAAATGTTGATGCACGCTTATTCAAATGTCTTATTACTTAGAATAAAATTCTCTGGTTGAATTTTGTAGTCGTCTGTAATATTTTTTATCAATTAGATGGTGAAATTTCATGTAACGTATTTGAATATAGTGTCAGTAATAAATATTTCGTATGCTTGTCTGTGCATACTTTTCTCAGAAACGTTTTCTGTGTGAAATATATATGAAAAAATACTGATGTCACATTCGGGGCTTTCTTTATCGTCAGTAGGTTGATGCAGCTGTGGTTCCTCATCGATTGAGTTGTTTGAGACATATGTTTTGCATACCCATGCGTTGCACTTACACTTGTGTTATGCTGGTTAACAAAGAGCTGGCTGAAAGAATACCTAAGGGCAGCCTAACCAAAACACAACATTAGTCGACGAAGTTATTGACTGTCGAACTAAGCCGCGTTTTAAAATATAGACCTATTGCGTATATAGGTTATGTGCTTTCAAAGTTTTCACCGTATATAGTTCCACGTTAGAGAATCGATGCAAATCACTAAATAAAGACTCATGTACTCATTTTTATTTACACTGAGGACTAGTGATACTACTACTACCCGGTTGCCCAAATCGAAGTAAATGCAGCGGAACTTGAACCTGTGACCTATTCGTTGAAAGTCGGATACCTTGACGACTAAATCATTGTTAGGGAGTGAAAAGACGTATTAACTAAGCAGTGTCAGACTAACTTATAAAACTTCTCTTGTAAGAATTCAAATATTTACAAACCTTTATGTTAGTATTTAACTCAGACGTTTTGTTTGAAATAAGATTTTTTAATCTGCTCATACCTTCGTGTAATATTCAATGCTATTAATTACATTTGATCTGGTTTATTAGCTCACTTAATTATTAGATTGTATCCAACTATCTTAAAACAGTCTTGACGTAATTGGAAATAGCCATCTATTACAACTAATTGAAATTATTGGCTTCCTTAGTAAGGTCTAACGGATTTATGTACTCTGATCTTCTGTTTTTTATTTTTATAGTTATTAATCACAAACGTATTAACAGTGAAATAAGATTGTTTCCTGTTTTTTTTATTTGTGTCAATGGAGTACAAAATCGTATCTAGTGAAAATCTTTTATGAAGTGTGATTTATCAGTCAGTTAGTCAGCTACAACGTAGGACCAGGCACATATATGCATTGGTCCAAGTTGCCATACCTCATTAACACAACAAGATGGACACCGGATTCATAAAAGTAGTTAATTCAGTGATGGTGATATATCAAAGAAAGATTGCATATAAGGACCTAGTACAAGAATACTCGACCGTGGCATCAGTGTTTGAAGTCACTAACTTCTAGTCTGAGCCATGTTGGTAGATGCAGACTACTTGGTTGGAGTCCGCGTGACTTTCGTAACCGATGGTTGGAGACTCTTGGTGAAATGGCTCAGAATCGATCCCAATGGCGTAGGTGTATACACTCCCTGTCTTCCCTTAAACTAAGAGATTAAAATCGCTTCATATCTTTCTTTCTACGAACCAATTCTTTCTTCTTGTACTATATCTCTATATGCAATCTTTCTCTTATATATTACTACCTTTGACCTAGCCACTGCTATGAATCCGGTGTTCATCTTGTTGTGCTGATGCGGTATGGTAACCTGGACCGATGCACATATGTGCCTGGTCCTACGTTGTAGCTGACTGACTGACTGACAAGAAGAAAGAATTAGTTCGTAAAAAGAATGATATGAAGTCATTTTAATCTCTTAGTTTAAGGGAAGACAGAGAGTGTATACACCTACGCCATTGTGATCGATTCTGAACCATGTCACCAAGAGTCTCCAACCATTGTGTACGATAGTCACGCGGACCCCACCCAAGTATTCTGCATCCACCAACATGGCTCAGTGTGATTTATTGAACCCAAGTATTATAAATAAGCAATTCAAATAATCACATCGATCTAATTTGTTTATTTTTATGACTGATCAGTTTCATTTAATAAGTAGATCATTTAACAACAGGATTCATTTTTGTGTTTGTTTTAATAAGTACGAAAAAAACCCTGATCATTAGCAGTACTCTTATCATACACATCGAATTTATTGTCTAATGTTAGTATATACTTTTAAAAGTTTTCCTCATTATTCTATATAAATGGCAGAATTTCTGTAAACTATAGTTGTTATACTTTTTAGATTATAACTAATAGTGAAATACAGGATGTGTGTTTTGTCATATCCCCAGGACTCGTTAGTTTGTTGTATCTGTATTCCATTGTTGATATCCACACTATTATTCAAACCCAATAGTTAGCACTTCAAACACCGATACGTTATCCATCAGGTTACTGAGCTATAACAGTCAATACGTTGTTCAATAGGTTTGATATTTATTATTAGTTCGTTTTCAATTTCTCGCTGCTGATATTCAGGATTGAATTTTGATCCATGTTTGATAATATATATTTATGTCATTAATGGATCTCCTGATATTGTTTTTTAGTTACAGTTTTAGATACAATCCGTCCCCTTGTGTCAACGTAAATGAATCGAAATTCAGTCATAAATGTAAACAATGAAAAAAACCCAAAACAATTACGAATAATTCTAGTTACACTTACTTACGCTTACTCCTCCCAATGGAGCATAGGCCGCCGATCAGCATTCTCCAACCCACTCTGTCCTGGGTCTTCCTTTCCAGTTCTATCCAATTGTTGTTCATTTTTCTCATGTCTGTCTCTGTTTCCCGACGTAGTGTGTTCTTTGGTCTTGAGGATATTTATTACTTTTTTACATCTTGAATGCTGACCTGAAATTTTACATTTACATTGATTTTTGTTTTCGGTACATGTTCCCAATTTATCAATCCTAACAGTATTACTAACTTTACTCATATTGACATATAAAGGTGCTTACATATTCTAATAATCTTCGTTTTTATTCCGTTTAGGTACTGTATACACTTGAATTGGCCGTTGTAAAAGATGTTCTTGTTTCAAGTGATAACGAAAGGTCGTTGTCCTCTTCATCGTCATCAATGTTATCAGTATCGAAGAAGATATGCTGCTTCATTTCTATTGGAGAATTTCTATTGACAACACCGTGTCTGTTGTTTGCTTTAGGTCCTTCTTCAAGGAAAGCTAAAACTGGTGTAGGTTAGTGCGTATCCATATAAGAATTATGTCGTATAAGTAGTAGTTAATCTTTTTTTGTTTTTTTTTTCTTGGAAGAAAACTTATTCAGTCACCCCATAGTTATATTGGATTAATGTTTGTTCTGCCAACTAAAGTAATTAGTCAGTTAAATGTCCCTGTCTAATATGAATTTTATACATAAACTTATCCCCTACAAAGCAGAACAATCTACTCTCTCTATTCTTATTACAATTAACTGGTCATTGAGTAATTATCAATGCTATGTTTGTCTTATCTTTTAGTGCTGATCGAATTGTGTCGATCAAGTCGCAGTGTAGTCACTAGTTTAAATTACTCAACATAGTGTGCATTATGTTGTGATATTAGATGTTTGATCGTAGTAAACATAATACTGTAGATCACCAAATTTCGTTCACATTACTAACGAGTGCCAACATCCAAGAAACGTATCACAGAATTCCCTGCTGATTACCTCTAACCGCTTAACTTATCCTAATTATACTGAAAATTGAAAATCTCAATGTTTACTTGCCATTCGACAAATGATGACCTGTCCTGTCACACTAGTGAACTAGTCGACAATCGCAACCTTAATTGGGCAATAAAGCATGATATTTCAAGCCACAACAGGTTAAGGATCACAAGAGAAAACACAATTGTGTTGATGTTCGTTTAATTTTTGTTACACGATTACTCATTCCACAGTTAGTTGGCTCTAAAAATTCTATCTAGTTAACCATCTTTAGGATGGTTGCGATCAATAATGGGTAATAAAAGTAGAAAATTTTGACTTAAAGCTCGTCAGTATTGCATAACGGCTAGTTGATATTCATACTTGTTAATAAGAGATTAGATGAAAAAGGTCAGTGGAGCTGTTATGGAAGAAATTGCATCGGTGATCTAATACCAAAGCAGGTGTTGGAAACTAGTAATGGTTCAGTTGAGTGAGCGATCCAATTAATTCATAGCTATAGAGTGCAAGTTACACAAAATCCGATTGGCACCTAAATATGACACTAATACATCACTGCTTCAAATGTAATTAAAGTTTACAAACCTCAAACAGTGGTCTTGAGTGCTATGAGAGGCATGAGGATGGTTATCACTTTCCGGTTGCCCACATCGTGGAAGGGTTCTTCTAGAGGTACCTGGAAAGGGAAATGGTCTAGGGGTAACCTCAGTGCCCAGGGGACAACTGTTTGGGGCCGATCACATACGACATTTTTGTGAGTAATTTTCATGTCCACTCCGTACTTGCTGAGGCCTAACTACCGGAGACGAAAATCCGTGAGATAAGACAACGTGTACATTTTTGGGGTCAACTTTTTCTAACCCGCGCATTGTTGACTAGTGTTGGAGACGGTTGGAAGAAAGTTATGGGCGGCCAAACCAAAACGTGGCATTAGTCCATACAGTAATTAACTTCCGGTGTGAGCCATGTTGGTACATGCAAACTGCTTGGTTGGGGGTCCGCGCGACTGTCGCAACCAGTGGTTGGTGACTCTGGGTGACATGGTTCAGAATTGATCACAATGGTGTAGGTGTATACACTCTTTATCTTTCCTTAAACAGTGAGATCAAAATGACCTTATTCCTTTTTTTCTACGAACTAATTCTTTCTCCCTGTATCATATTCTTATGTGCAATCTTTCTTTCATATATTACTATCATTGAAGTAACTACTATCAATTTGGTGTTCATTTTGTTGTACTAACGAGTTGTGGCAACTTGGACCGATGTATATATGTGCCTGGTTCTACGTTGTAGCTGACTGACTGACAAACCTGAAACGATACAAGAACTCTTAACAGAAATCACACTAGTTGAACAAACTCAATAAATAGTGACTAAAATACACAGCAATGTAAATTATTTCCCCTAAATTGATCTCTATAGTCAATCATTGCTTCTGTTATTTGATTATCGTCACTTTTTTTTCGCGCGTTTTGACTTTCTTGCTTTCTCTATTTTGTTGCGTAACTTGACTTATAGTATTTATTGTGGATTATTATTGTTAAGTTTCAAAATAGGATTAAAAAGTCAATATGTGCACTTTCACTATAATATCATAGTAACTGTTTGAATGATTGTTCCCAAAACAACTAATTGGTTATTGCTTTGTACTGTTTGGTTTTTACTGATTGAGTTATACATAATTCAAGTTGATTTATTCCTTTATTCATTTGTGCCAGTTGTTTTCATCGTTCTCTGTTTAACTGAAAATAATGTCAATATGTATTTGTTATTATTATTTAGCTTACTGCACAGTAGTTCCTTGCAATTTTCTTTATGGGTTATGAAATGTGACGGTTATTTATTTATTGAAGCACAAAAACATTGGTACAAGGAGGCACCAAATAGATATGCGTCACATAAATCACTCCATTTATGTGGGAGCTGGGACACTTCCCGGGCTCCCAAACCGAGGCAGGGGGTTCTCTTAGGGGGCCGCACCCCGAGTCTTTCACCTAAAGGTCTAATCCACAAGGCAGTGGAGCAACGTCAGGAGATTCAGTCCCATGGTAGCCGGTGACCAACGATTGGTTCATACGCCATTTGTTTCCTTAAGATCCTGGAGTCCATGTGCACCAGTGGCTTGGAATTAGGATTTTCCAACTCTATGTGGACTTTCCGTGTCCGCCAACCCGGTTAAAGTGCCGGACATTCGCTTTTTGTGCTCTCAATTTCGTAAACTACACTCTCACCGCGAAAAGGCAGTGGGTAGGGCTTCCCTGGCAGTAGTTGTATGCACGTGACCATGTGAGAGCGTTTGGAGAGGGTTAGCTGACACTCCCCACTCTCGGCCTTACCAGGGCATTTGGGGGCCGTTAAGATTAGAAGACATTCGTAGGCTACTACTGTTTAGTTACAATTATTTATATGTAAAGCTTTAGATATATGTCCTGTAACTACCGAGAAATCAAGGTAATGATTGGAAATCTGTTAATGACTTTGTGGTTTTTCATCCACTGAGATGTTTGAAACATGTATCACGTATTCTCAGTCAAAATCTACCTCGACTCCAATGCTAACTGATATAGGAGTTAGTTGAACGAATGTTTGGAGTGGGGAAACTGAAATACAGTATTCGTTGATCAATTATATTGGATTCAGCCATGTTGGTAGATATAGATATAGAGTCCTTATAATTGTTGTATTCATTGGTTAGTGATCCGGGTACATTCAACCTTTATTTCCTCTTAAATCATGAGTCTCTAAATCTGTTTATACTATTCTTTCTTCAATCTTAACCTAATGTTTTCTACTATTACTACTGATACTGTTATTATTTTTATTATACTCTGGGATTTGTTTTAATAATTTCTTCTGACTATATGTATTGTGTTTTGGCAAATTGAACTAATGCACACCACGTTCTACATTGTTGATCGATTATTAATCTTATCATGGTTGTTATTCTTTTCAATTTCATTTCACTTCAATAGATCCCCTTACTATAAAAGAGAAAATCGGTTCACACAAAGTTTTAATGGATCAAATATGTTTGGATATACATATCATTCATAATCGGTTAGTATCTTTGTATTTTTCCCATTCCTTTGATTATTTTCATGTTGGTTTTTGTTTTAAAATTTTATTAAAAGCATTTTCTTAATGAATAGAAACGAATGACTAAACTGCATACCTTTGTGTATGATTAGTAAATTGCTATTGTACACGATACGTTTTGGCTGACTGACTGATGATAAAACTATAGTTTAAAGACTATAGCTTTAGGCTACTCTCAAAAATCCTCTCGTGACTTTGAAACCACTTTTAAAAGTCAATGAACAGAGAGTTTGTGCAAATCAGTTATATTTGTTAACAAAAGTAATCAAACCTGTTAGAGTTTAATGGTTTTTTTTAGGAAGTTTATCGTTTTTTGGTGACTGATTATCAGTTACTTAATCATAATGTTGAAGAGACTTTGCGATCCAGTCGCATTCAATTTACTGTAGGTAAATTTGCCTATGAATACCTCTCATAGCTGTTAATAGTTTTGTGGAGAATTCATGTTAACATACAATATCTTTATTAACAAATTCGTTAGAGTTATAGAAATGAAATTATTAGAGAACCATCGTTGCGGCTATATCAATATGAAGTAATTATGTGTAGATAGCTATTTTGACATTCCTACGACATTATTTACTTACTTACTTACGCCTGTTACTCCCAATGGAGCATAGGCCGCTGACTAGCATTCTCCAACCCACTCTGTCCTGGGCCTTCTTTTCTAGTTCCATCCAATTCTTGTTCATTTTTCTCATGTCTATCTCCATTTCTCGGCGTAATGTGTTCTTTGGTCTTCCTCTTTTCGTTTGGCCTTGAGGATTCCATGTGAGGGCTTGTCTTGTGACGCAGTTGGGTGCTTTCCTCAATGTGTGCTATCCACTTCCAGCGATTCTTCCTGATTTCTTCCTTCGCTGGGACCTGGTTTGTTCTCTCCCATAGTAGGTTGTTGCTAATAGTGTCCGGTCAACGGATCCGAATATTTTGCGTAGACAACTGTTAATAAACACCTGTATGTTCTGGATGATGGTTTTCGTAGTTCTGGAAGTTTCTGCCCCATACAGTAGGACTGTCTTGACATTCTAATTGGAAATTCTGACCTTGGTGTTGGTTGACAGTTGCTTTGAGTTCCAGATGTTCCTCAGTTGTAAATATGCTGCTAACCAGAAAAATTATTCCTACGACATTAACTTACCTATTGTTTAGTAAATCATCAATAAAATGATTTATTTGTGAATTTACTATAAACAAAGTAGACTAAAAGTAAGACCGACTAAACCAGTTTCTGAACCATGTCATCCAACGTCTCAAAACATTAATGCTCACTGCTGTCAGGTGAAACATAACTCAGGTAATTTACATCTACAAACATGGTTAAGACTAATAGTCAATGACTTTATGAACTGATGCCACGTTTTCTACCTCCTCACTAACAAGCATCGCTTGTCGAAGAAGGCGGTTGTCCAATTTACCTATCACATTTTAATTACTTAGGTTGATGAAGATTTATAATCTTATCAGCTAACTTGTTATCATTTATTGACACCCTGTTCCTGTTTAACCTAAACATTACGCTACAAAAAGATATTTCTATTGTACATCTGTACCTGTTTGTTTTTGAGGTTTTTTTTTTGCGAAACTTCAAGTTAATTTTTTAATAATAATAAACTTGTCTCTATATCACAATTTTACACTTTTTACATGTGATTACTTGAATTCACTATTCTACATTGATTTAATTTTCCTTTAAGCAATTTGTGTAGATTCAATGTGTTCAATTCTTCGAACTGAATAGAAATTTTCTCTGTTGTCATACTGTTATTAATTTGCATTGAACTGTTAAATTACAGGATACACTTTACATTATAAATTGATTTTAGTTAAACAATTATCAAAAAATAAAAAAAAATACAGGAAGCACTGGGCAGTCTTTTTTTTTGTCCTAATATGATGAGCTACTCTACAGTGTAAATCCTGAACTCCTCTAAGGACCATTGCATCCAATACTTTTAGATCTCATGTTGTGTAGTATTCGAATTTATCCACATATGGTTCACAGCTTATGCTGTAGATCTTGAATGTTGACTGGTTCTTATTGACTTTAAACCTGTCATTGTTTATTTCTTTGTTTTGGTTGTGTCTCCCATTGGTTTGAACTTTGTCCTGTGTTTGTTCATAATTTTCCTGATGGGTTGTAAAATTGGATCGATTTCAATGTGCTTGTTGATTGCTGATTGACCTGAGTGCCAAGTATCTAAAAATTCTCTAATGTTTTTGGAATTTCCACTATCCAATATTTCAACATTTTTCCAGTCGAATGTGTGTCCGCAATCGTCCACGTGCATTGATATAAGTGAGGACATGTCATGGCGTCTACAAAATAAATTGTGCCAACTGCGATAAACAGCACATCAGACAAGACGGACGCCCTCTCCATCTCGTCTGCATGAACATCAATTAGCAGTCAAATGATCGTTTTTCTAGTGTACTTCTAGCGTACTTGAATTCTTTATAAATATATTACCTTGTCGAACTATATTCTCCAATAATAAAACTGATGTTATATATGTAACATAGTGTCATTTTGACTTTATTATTCGTTCAGTCAGCTATAACGTAGGATTAGACACATATATGCATCGGTCCAGGTTGCCATACTTCATTAGCAAAAGAAGATGATCACCAAATTCATAGGATTTACTTCAATAGTAGTAATATATAAAATAAAAATTGCTGCTACCTTGAGGTGGTGGTCGGACTTGCCCATCGTGATGAACTAGTCGGGTTATACTGGCTGAAAAGATCGTTCCTCAAGGTCGGTTGAATAATTGTACGACTTAATGCAGCAAACCCAAGGGCCGACGGCGAAGTCCTACTGCTGACTGTGCAGAGGTGTGATGGCAGTAAGATGTTTCCTTCAGATAAACAGCACAACAGAGATACTGCCTTCCCACAAGGAAGGATGTGACTACAAAAGGCTTACCCTAAAAATACACGTCTCACCTTATCTCACAGATTTCCGCCTCCGACGATTATGTCCCAACAATTATGTGGCTGACATGACAATTACTTACAAAAAGGTCGTATGTGACCGTTCTCCAACAGTTTTCCCTTAGGCACTAAGGTCACGCTCTTAGTTCGCTAAGACCAACTTTAACCCAATTTTCTTTTCAGAAACCTCTAGAAAAACCGTTCCACGATGTGGGCAACCAAGTAGTAAAAACCACTCTCATACCTCTAACTCCACTCAAGACCACTGACTTTATCATTACTAGTATTGGTAATAATTACATCTAACTTTTTTCAGAGTGTGTGATATAATAAATTAAACTGAGACATATCCTAGAGCATACGTTTTAACAACGATCAATTCAGTCGATTTCAGTTGTCTAAAATCCATACAGATTGATTTTCTTGTGTGTGTGTGTCTATTGTCCCAATTGAAGACATCATCACTGGAACTATATTTCCATCACAATCCAAATGTTCACTTGATATTGTTTTACTTGAATCTTCCCATTGATGTTTTAGGACTGAAATGGATCCGTCTCTTATTGGCATTTGTGCATACTGTGCGTATGCCTCGATATTGCCTTAATTTACAAGCATTTGAAGCGAATGGTACTGAGTTCAAGTCCCAGAGTGAACATCAACTCTGAGATGCAGGTACATCCAGCTGACGAGTCCCAAACAGGACGAAACGCGCGTCCTGGATTCCACTGCTAGCCACTATCCATCATTGCTTACAATCCAAATATGTTGAAAATATCAATGATTGCTCAAAGTCTTACATTTTATTTCTACCAATCATCATGTCTGAGTTAGTTAACATATGTTTGTCCCACCATCCTCCTCCCTCCCCCCTCTCTTTCTCTTGTTTATCTGTATATATCTGTTGATTTATTCGTCTTGACAATAAATCATTTGTCGCTTAAATTTAAAAAAAAAATAGGTGAGCAACAGGTTTGTGTTGTCAACAGGTATGCAAGTGTAAATCCAAACATTGAATTAACTAACATATGACAACAATACACAAAATCTATCTATTTTACCATTTATAATTTGAATCTTTCATATAGACTTGATCATATTTATTAGATAATTGTTTGTTTTTTTCTTCAATTAACTCCAGCATTCATAATGCATACCAATGTATATGAGAATAATACATGATACAGTTAGTTATTTTATTGATCTTCTCTTATACCTTTTTTTTCTGTGATCTCATGACAAACTCCATTTACATTTCATTATATATAAATGATTCATGTAATTTGTGTTGGGTTTCACTAATGTTTTTTTCTCTTTGTTTTTCTTTTTTGATCACACTATTTTAATGTTCTATTTCTATAGAAATCTATTAAATGGTACCATTCGATTTGATCTGCCTCATCGATCTGAATCAGGTAAGCTATAAAATTATTATTGTAATTTTGAAATTAAATAAGAAAGAGTATTATTGAGACTAATTTATGTAGGATATTTAAGTGACATTAATGTAACTCCACCTAATTATGAATACAATGGTCTTAAGTGTTGTTAGAGGTTGGGCCATGTGTTACGTGTGTGTGTATGCCTGAACACCGATTACCACGACGTGTAATGCTAACTGGTGTTGGGGATGGTTGGAAGAAAGTTAGGGGTGGCCAAACCAAAATGTGGCATCATTCCACAAAGTCACTAACTTCTAGTCTGAGCCATGTTGGTAAATGCAGACTACTTGGTTGCGGTCCGTGTGACTATCGTAACCAATGGTTGGACACTCTTGGTGACATGGTTCAGAATCGGCCACAATGGCGTCGGTGTATACACTCTCTGTCTTCCTTTGAACTAAGAGATTGAAATCGCCTCATATATTTTTTTTTTATAAGAACTAATTCTTTCTTCCTGTACTATATCCTTATTGCAATATTTCTTTTATATATTACCACCTCTGAATCAACTACTTTTATGAATCCGGTGTCCATCTTGTTGTGTTAATGAGGTGTGGCAACTTGGACCGATGCATATATGTGCCTGGTCATACGTTGTAGTCGACTGATTGACTGAACTCACCTAATTACTAGTGTCAAAAAGGGTTTATCAATCAGTATGAATAATTGGAATTAGAACTGAAAAGTTATGGGTTAAGGTTTTGTATCACGAACTTAAATAACTACCACAATCATCATCATTAAAAAGTACAAGTATTTATAAACAATTGTTTACGCAAGATATTTAATGTCCGTTAAACGGATACCATCAGCAACAGCTTATAGTGAGAGAGAACAAATCAACTTCCAAATGAAGAGGAAATTAAGAAAAAGACCCTAGTTGTGGATAGGACATACATTACGGAAATCATTAGATTGCATCACCAAGCAAATGCTAACTTGGAATCCTGAAGAGAAGCAGAAAAGAGGAAGGTCAAAAAAACACAATGCGTCGAGCATTAGAAGCAGACATGAAAAGAGTGGATAGCAACTGGAAAGGATTGTCTAGCAAAGAGTTGAATGAAAAATGTTGCTCCTCCACTAGGCGTGGCAGGCGTAAGTAAGTAATTTACATCACCTATCATGCCAAAATACCATCTGATCATTTGAATGAATTAATTTCTCACCAAAATCCAAGACGTGCTACCTTTAATTTCATTGGTTTGTTCATAAATTCTTGTTTCGTTTAAAAGTCTACTCTACACAGTAATAGTGGTCAGAGAATAGAGATAAGGTTAAAATAGTTACGATAAATTCTCAACTAATTTTTTTTTAGCCTGATTAGATAACAACTTTTGTAAATCAATAATTTTTAAAAGAGGGAAACAATACTGTATCACAAAGTATGTTCTACAGGTTACTTTCACTGTTAATTAGATAAACAATGACATTGAAATTCATTCATATAGATATATGAATGATCAATCTTCTCGAATCCCTTTGGTGATCGAAATAGATTTTTAAAACTTCCTTTATTGTTATTAGTTATGGTTAAGGCTATGGGTTTTAAAGTTTAAGTTTTCATGCTCTACAGCTGTATGAAAATCCAAGAGTTGCTATCTCAGATCTCAATTCATTCGTTTATAAAATCTAGTATTACTGGGTTATGATATGTTTCCAGTTGGTATGTACGATTAGTGTTTGGTTTGTGTGTTATATAAAATCTATAGAAAAAGAATTAAGAGTTCGTTACGTTTAACACTATCGTCCTGGGCTTTGTCGTGAGAGTCCCAAAATATCCCTTGTCAAAAACTTTAGAAACCCAGAAACGCCTAATCCCATTATCGTTGAATATACACTTTCCAGAGACATCTACGAATCCAGAATCACGTGTCACGGTTTTGCTTGAATATTTAGCATATTTAGCATGTTCCCAGAAATTTCTAAATACTCAAGGTTATGTAATACTCTATAAATACCCTCATTTTTCCTGTACATAAACTTACTTCGAAGTAAAGTGTTTACTCACAATTTTTCGTTCTATTCTTCCAGTTGATATGTCGAAGTAGGTTAGGGTTATAAGAACCGAATAGTAAGAAATAGTTTTGGCTTATCGGTAGCAGGACTTCTCAGGCCCCATATAGGAAATCTTCACGTCTATTAATCATTATATATGTAAAATTGATCATGTCGGAAAATGATTGTTTTTCGATATGTATTGTATAAATGAGATTTATACCATTAATGGTCAGCGTACTAGAATGTCAGTATTAAAAGAGATCATATCCAACAAAAAGGCTAGTATTAATTAGATCGATTCACACAATGGCAAGCGTCGAATAAACCTGAAATTTGAACTAATTATCAGGGTTTTTTTTCCGAGATGATTCTGTTGGGTATTGTGTGCATAGATACAATTGATTAGAAAAAAGTAAGCATATAAAATTCAACATAGAATCATTTAATTGTAATGAAATTGTAGGTTTGTATATAGTATATTACTATCTCTTCATTACAAATGAAATTATTGAAACTCCTAATGGCACCATATATATGGATAAAGGTAAAGAACGACATGACTAGTTATGTTCTATTATGCTATGGCATAATAGAATTAGATGACGTAAAAAGTGATAAAGCCATTGGGTTTTTGATCATGAATAGTTACACCTTTAGAAAAGCGGAAGGGATGAATGACAAAAAAAGATTTGGAGATATTTACGGAACATTGTAAAAATGAAGTGTATATTGATCCTCATTATTATCATACAATCTATGAAGGGATTACAAATCTGTCACTATTCTATATAGAGGAGAAATTGAAGAGTTACAGTGATTAAGCACTAAGAGGTAAAAATGAAATACAAGGAGGTAGCAATAGTATATATTAAACTGATCGTGGAACATCATGAAAAAATAGGTCGATACTAGACTATTTACGAATAACAGCACAAACACGTATTAAATTGTGTTATAAAAATTTAAAAGTGTAAATAACACTTACATCTGTATTACATCATGATATCTCTTTAATGTTGTCTGTTATGAAGTTCACCTTTATTGTTATACATCCTAATCTAATGACATATTCTCTTTGTTATCATGTATAGTTAGAATTTCCTTCTAGCCCTTTTTTTGTGTTTCATAACAATTCATTTCAGTAGAGAATTTTCATTTACTACTATTCAGTAGAGTTTCAAATCGTATATCTAAACACTTTTCTACTACATTGTTGAACACCATAGAAAAAAAGCATACATATGTATGTATTCTTGTTAGGTGATTGAAGTCAGGCGGTAGGATACTCAGTTAGTCGTGGCACAAATAACTTAGTGGTTACGACTGTAAAGCAGAATGATAAGGGCTTGAATCTCAAAGTGTGAATTAGTCGTTTCAAGATTACTAGTAAGCTTTAGTGTCAGTCGGTGTGTCCTGTCTCCAACTTTTTTACATCCGAACAATAATGCATGCAATATCGAGTTACTTAGACTAATGGTCTCATTGAGAATTGGTCGGGAGTTTCCAGTCAATTCTTAAGGTCTAGGCAAAAGTGACTAATCAGTCAATTGTATATATCCATACTCCTTTTTTATACTTATAGATAAACTCGAATTAATTACAAATATAATGAAACAATCTTCAGTGGAATCACCTGTTCATCATCAACGTGAATTAACAGACCCTACTCTCCCCACTGCTATTGATAACTCTAGTAATAAGGATCTGTCAAGTTCAATACCTTCTCCTTTTACTTCATCACTTAACATAAATGCTATTGTTCAGGAAAAAGTTGAATCTCATGAAGTAAGTCTGCTTTTTTTTACGTTTTTTGTTATGAAAAACAATTTCTACTCACGTTTTACTTCTTTATTTATTCCTTACTTTTGTTTACTTGCTAGAGTTTTTTTTATCAAGTTTCTTTTTTATGGTATGGATTTAGTAGCTGCATGTCAGACAACACTCTTTTGTTATAGCTTGGGACGGGCGATAACTCTAGAAGGGCTTCAGACAGAGTTGTTTATATTTACTATAAACTGTTACTTTCTTTTTGAGTTTCATATTGTTAGCTGACAGTTTAAAAGTGGGTAAAATATGTAAGCGAATTTCAACGTTTTGTGTTTCATTAAGAGCTTGGATAACTTTCGACATTTTCTACTTAGTATACGTTTCCCGTTTGCTTATCAAACAGTCGGATATACAGAATAACCGTTGTAAAGCTGTTGTATCTTGAAATTTGTCTGTTTTAGCTTACAGCAGCCACTTATAATGAATAATCGAGGTTATTCTAATACAAATGAAATCTATTGCAAACTCGACGAACTAGCAACCAACACACAGAACTTTTCAATAATGGTTCCTGGTCATGGAACCAAGAAAGAAGACAGTAGTACAGAAGGAAACCTGCTATTCTACTTAGAGAAAATTAGAGCGGAACAACTTTACATATTTAGTAACCAGGCTCAGACTTAAGACGGAGAAAAATGCTAAATGGAAGTGGTAACTGTTATGATTTTATGTCCGGCCTTTATCACGTGATTTATCCACCAATCAAAATACGACTTATACAATCTTAGCACTATGCCAAACCAAAGACGTTCGACCAGTATGAACAGTCTAGCGTCCTTATTGGTCCTCTGTCCGTCCAGTCCGTCCACTTGAGTCCAGAACACCAATACCAGCTCCCACTATGCGAACCGAATAATCATATTCATCGACTGATGTGTAGTTGGTACATATATTACATATTTTTGCATCAAGTCATTGACTATTGGATCCAGCCTTTTCAATAAATGCAGACATTTTAGTCGCCATCCGTGTATGATAATCATGATCAATATCTGTAGCTATAAGTTGATATGCTTCTAACTAAACTGTATTGAAACGAATATTGTTCTTTTAATCTTGAGCCTACTGTAATTTAAAACATCGTTCCTTTGGTGAATATGGAGGATCCACATAGGGAGGTTGGAAAATCCTTATTCCAAACCATTAATGCACATGGATTCCGGAATCCTGAGGGAACAAATGGCATATGAACCAATTGTTGGCCACCGGCCACCATTGGACTGCATCTCCTAACGTTGATTCACTGCCTTATGGATTAGACCTTCAGGTCAAAGGCTACGCATGTGGCCTACTAAGAAAACCACATACTTCGGTCTGGCCACCCGGGCAGTATCATAGCCCTAACGCAAATGAGTGATAACTGCTACTGGTCTCATTGTTATTGTGTGATGTATATGTATTTAGTGCCCCCTTGTACCAATTTTTATATGTTCAAATAAATGAATAAATTTCAACAAATTTATGATGTATAGTTTGTTATAAGAAATGTAGTTGCTGAAAAGGAATGGTTCATGGAATAACGAGTTTTCTGTGCAGCCGTTTGCCCTGTTCTACTCAATGGGTGTGAAATATAGCCACTAAGAGTGTAGGATATTCGTAGGTTACTAGTATTCGATCATAGATGTCTTTAAAGCATTGCTCCTGTATTTTCGGACCACCGAGTAAGTAATGCCGAGGTTAGTGACAGTGTACCATGTAAGAATGAGAAGTCATTTGATGAGGTAATAAATCAACTAAAATGGTTGGGAAATATTATACGTATGGCCACCCCCTAATTACCTCGATGGGCCGAATAGGTTAAAAGAAAGGTAGATGTGGCCGAGCCCAAGTGCATTAAGTCATTGTAATTGAGACTGAGCCAAATAGGTAGGTGCAGATTACATTGTCAAGTTTCAATGAAAGTTTTACAGGTTTTGAATATACTTTATTATGATTCAAAGCTTTCAATCGGTTTTGTTTCACCTTGGAATTATGGTTAAATTCTGTCACCTTACTCAAACATCCCTTATTACGTTTTCAACAATACTATTGAAGTTGTTGGCTAAATAAATAAATATGCTGAACTTGTTGTTTATTACATCCACAGTCGTGTGTTAGACCTTCTTCACAAATAAATGCAGTTTGAATTTCATCCGACCGGTTACACATATATTTAGTCTAACCAATAAGATGTGATCATTGGCGATATTAAGAATATGGATAAAGGATCTACTTATTCTCTTATTACTAAATTTATTTAAACTGTCTATTAAAATTCATTCAAGTACATTTTTATGTACTTCATTTAGAGGCATAATTTTTGTTTGTCAGGGTTAATTATACCACTACCCCAGGTACCCAAACTGTGAAATACTTGAAGCGTGAATTCCAGCCTTGAACGTATGGATCAAAAGTCAAATGTTTCCTACACTAAGTCACCAATCGACTGTTTAGCTGTAATGAAATAAGTCGTAAATTTTAATTCCATATGAAAGATTCCAATTTTTACATGGCCTCCAGTATCCTGCGGGAACAAATGGTTTATAAACCAATTGTTGGTCACTGGTTACCATGGGACTGCATCTCCTTACGATCCTCCAATGTCCTGTAGATTAGACCTTCAGGTCGAAGGCTCCAGGTATGGTCCCCCCAAAAAACCACCCGCTTCGGTTTGGGCACCCGGGCAGTATCACAGCCCTTGCACATGTCGAATGAGATTTGTGTGGCGCATATGTATTTGGTGCCTTCTTGTACCAATATCTATGTGTTAACATAAATAAATAAATAATAAGTTTAATCTTTAAGTTAGTCAAATTTTGTGATGTGTATTGATAAAGATACTAATACTATATATGTATATTCGTTGTTCCCTAATTTGGTTGTCTTCACTAAATATTCTTGATAGCAATATAAATTTGCTGAGATTTCACATTCGAAACTGTCATCCAGTACAATTCATAAAACTTATCAAAAATGTATATTCAAATTACTGTATACATTCATTACAACTAATCATATTTTTAACAATCTTCCATCTTTGGCACTTTCATCTAAATCACGAATTGGTCAACATCCATCATTTTATTGTTTGTCTAATATGCTTGTAATGAAAACGCTTAAACACGTTTATATTTCTTCTGTAAGTTAATGAATTAACTTATTTAATTAATTTAATTGAACACATAAATATTAGTACAAAGAGGTCCTTAAGACAACTGCCTGGTTTCGGTCTGGGAACTCTGACAGTATCACAGTGATTGCTTTCAATTATGTGGAATAAAATATTGTCCAGTCTGTACGTTTTAAGTTCATTATTTTTGGTCGTAAATCGTATATCTGATGTAAAGTGATCATATAATGTATCTCGTATGAGTATCCAGTTTAATGAGAGTCTATTCTTAGTCACCAGTCTTATCTCAGTATAATAATATACATTGCAGAAACAAAAAAAAACAACAACTGAATCCACTCTTTTGTTATAATATAAGTTGACTGAAATGTAAATGAGATCATGTGTGACAATAAAGTATGACTTTAACACACAGGAAAATCGGTGAATTAAAAGTGGCAACAACCAATCGGGAACTAACAAAAGTCATACGGAAATATGAATCAGGAAAATTTACTGAGTGTTTTATCGTTATAGGAAAAATATTAACACTTTGTAACCGAGGTTAGATAGCTTGAATTGTATCTAAAACTATGTACATATACATCAAGAGTGATATTCTTTTTTAAAAAAAACATTTGGTAAATATCAATTTAAGGTGTAAGTATGGATATTATTAGTAAAACAAACGATAGGAATTGTAAAATTAGATGATGGGACGATACATGAACTCATTTACAGATACTTATACCGACTTGGGTTCGAGACATACTATATGCAGGGTCTAAAAAAAATACTTCACAGTTTGTTGTCCAAGTTAAAGAATGTATGAGGAGTTTCAACTCCGTGACTTAGCAGCTGAAAATCAGATTAAGTAACTAACTGAGCCACCGTACACATCGAATACATATGAACTAAGTCCAGTTTTCAGAAGTTAAAATTGATCATTATCCAAAGCAAAAGAATGATGATTTTCCGATACCAATACTTTACTTTAATGCTGAATCAAGATAATTCCGAAACAACTTAAATAAATCTTCTTGGGTGATCCGAAAGGTGCAAGAAAACCTACAAGATGACACAATCCGACGGGGAGAAGGAATTGTATTTAGGGAACACAAGTTTATACAAGTCTTCACTTGTTTGTACTGCATATAATGACAGAACTGTTGCATCATGTAATAACTAAGTACATCATTAAGATTCAATTGGTCACTTCGTACTTATTTATACAACTAGTCCTAAACTCTCGTGTCTATATACACTTTTGTATTTACGTAACTTTTATCTATTGGACTACTTGATAATATTATTTCTGGACATTCCCTACCTCATGCCGTTTTATTTCATGTAATCTCATTCCATTCCATTTATTACCTGTGTGATGTTTGAATTGTTGCTAGTCTGTATAAAACTAAGGTGTTCTATTAATACTTTCGCACGTAGTTTCGTGTTAACAGAGTCTTTTTTTTAGCAAAGTTGTTTTACTTACTGAATGAAATCGCTAACCCCCAAGTCCAACACTCCTGCGTTACCCCGAGCTTGAGACCTTCAGTAACCCTAGAAGTGTTAGGTCTAGATGAAATTGTCGTGTTAATATATCTGCGATTATTGTGTGTTCATACTGAAGATCTTGAAATCAGAAAGGTAGTATATTTGTCTAAATGTGACAATTTCTACAATAATAAATCGTATAATTGTACGGTCCAATAAATATGTGGAAACAAAATCAAATATGATAAACATATCACTTATTGTAACCACATTACATACATGACATGGATACTATTTTTGGGGTGAATCTGTGTATGTCGGTAGTTCACAACGTGAATTGGTCTAATAAAATATAGGATACCAAGAAACACTAGATGATTATTTCGTCCTATGTATATGAATAGCTAACTATGTGTACTAATGATTCAGGCTTGAGTGAATATATGGAATTTTCAGGCCTCGTGGCCTTAAGTGATCATATTAGTTAAATGGAAGATCACAAAACAGTGATTAACATATCTGGGACATTTTCTTCTACGGTGTTTAGTAACATATTCACAGTTAATCGAATTATGATGTATGAACGGCAGTCGATACAGCAATAAATATTGGACTAGTAACACAGAGTTTACAACCATTACTTATATAGATAAACTAACTAGTTCATAAGGTATAGCTACCCGTTTCATATTTATGTTTTACCTCACCGATTTTGTAAGAATATCTACTGACAGTTGGAGGTTGCGTTGAATATTTTCTTTCATTTTATCGCATAGTTTTGAACATTTATTTTTAATCATTAAGAAATCATTTTTCTATTTACTATTTTCAAGGTTCTTGATGAGCGTGATTCCTCTGAAATAATCACTAGCAAACAATTAGGGTAAGTGAAATAATCATTTTCTATATTTTATATGTGTTTTGCCCTATGCCATTAGTTATTCAGAACTGACTGCATACTTAGTACTATTATTCCGTTATTAGTGTATATTTCAAATTTCGATGTACAGCACCAGCTACTATATTTATCATATCTGTGACCTTGTGGCGATTGTTACTGTATATTCCAACCTCCTGGTCAATGTTCCGTCATTTGTAAATGTTGCTACTTAGCTCTCGATTCAATTAATCATTTCGCTATAAGATCTCACTATATGTTTTTCATCTGGCATTTTGGGCTGCACTGCATGCACTAGATATGTTCACTACAAACAGCTGTGGATATTTCCAAATATTGAAAATGAATTGTTTGATGAGCCTTCAGTAACACAGTGTAAAAATGACTGGAAATGTAGTTGCTGATATGATTTAGTGAGTACTGAACCGTATTCATATATGACATTGTTTAGTATTCAGTTACTGGCTGGTTTAACACAGAATAATAAGTTTACGATATTTGTCGGTAAAATGTATTTTTTTGCAATTTCACTTAATTCCATAACCTCTAGAGGCGGAACGAGCAAGTAGTTTGCTCCAGGATCCTAAAAGAACAAATGGCGTATGAACCTATTGTTGGTCACTGGCTACCATGGGACTGCCTCTCCTAACGTTTCTCCACTGCCTTGTAGATTAGACATCTAGGTAAAACGCTCGAGGGGTGGCCCCTTAGAAAACCACCTGCTTTGGCTTGGGCGCCAGGGCAGTTGTTAGGAAACGGGTACTAGGTAAGGATGGCAAATCGATTGATGAGGTGGTGAGACTTCATCGGTTGAGATGGCTGGGACACGTGTTGCGTATGCCCAACGACCGACTGCCTCGACGTGCGATGTTCAGTGGTATAGGAGTAGGTTGGAAGAAAGCTAGGGGTGGCCAGACCAAAACATGGCACAAGTTCATGAAGTCACTGACAAGTAGACTGAGTCATGTTGGTAGGTGTAGACTACCTGGTTGAGGACGGCGAGATGATAGCAACCGATGGTTAGATACCCTGAATGACATGGCCCAAAATCGTGTGCAATGGCGCTGGTGCATCCACTCTTTGTGTTCTCCCAAATTTTGATCTCCTGATTCCTCCTTGTCTCTTTTTTCTCTTTCCAAATTTATTTCACTGGATTATACTCTTTGAATAACATCTCCAAACCCTAATCTTTTCGATTACTACTTATACTCTTATTACCTCTACCACTACGGGATTTGAATCGAATTCAGTCGTCATTCCGCAGTTTTGTTTGTTTAAAATATGTATGTATGTACAACCTCCAGAAAATACTGAAGTCAATTACTACTCATTGAAAACTTATAGGTAAAAATCAAAGGAACGAGTGGTTGTTCTTTCTTTATCCCTGAATAATTCATTATCTGAAAATTTCCACAATTTTGTATCTTTTCTTTAAACGTCTACAATCTTCAATTCATCTATTATCCTATAAAGTGTCTTGATTACTATACATAATCTAACCTTAATAATCAAACTTTTGTGTTTCTTATACCCTGATTTTCGTTTGATTTCCAAGAATGAAAGATTTTCTGTGAACTGAAAAGTCAATATCTAAATGTTCAACTACAGGACTTATTAGGTACCAGAAATCAGAACTACATTTAAATTAATTTTACTGATTATTCTTTTACAGTTACATCAAGTGTAATAATATACCTTAGTATTGTTATAACTTGTGACCGCCGATTAGAGAGCAGTGAATTATCGATCGGACCAAGGACGCGTAAAACACGTGCGAGCAGCCTAGAGTTCTGATTGATCCTGCTTTTCGCCTAACCCAACCAGTTAAGTCCAGAACACCAATCTCAGCCTATGCGATATGAATCATTATATTTCAAACATACTGAGTTCATATACCAATCAAACAGACCGCAACGTAGCATTAAATATGGAACCTTTGTACAAGAATTAACCAGCTGTGGCTGTTGGTGAGGGAGGTAGTAATTGATAGACGGGGTATAACTCAAGAATGGTAAATGGTAGAATAATAGTTCATAGGTCAAAATGAAGCTCATAATAAGAGGGACATGAATATGAATAGTTTAGTTACTTAACAATTATACAACAATAATATACGTATAGTATTGGTCCACAAATGGATCCCAAAATTACCATTCATTATTCTTATCGGGACATAACAAGTATATATATTTATATATAAAGTATATCACTTTCTAATTTACAAATCCTATTTCATCATTTACCACAATGATCAATTCATTTATATGTAAACATACTTTTCTAGTCATGATTCTTTAATGCCTAACACTTTGGAAAATCAATTGATGATGGAGAAATTAACAAATTTAAATAGTTCTAATTCCCATTTATCTATTAAAACTGAAATTGAAGATAATTCCAGTTTCAATCATAATATGGAAACAATTTCTCCAAGTCAACATGAACCACCGGAAGCGGAAAAACTTCAAAATGTTCTTTCTATAACATTGTTAAACATGAATAATCAATCGACTGAAGAACTGTAAGTTTTATATTCTACTTTATTTTTTTTTTTTATGAATCTTTTCACTAATCCCTACTTCTATACTTTTCTTAGATTGTCTCGTTGAATTATCCATACACTGTAACAAACTCAGTTGAATCTTGATCATTGGCATCTATTTTGAGCAGAAAACTTTCAATGAAGGGGAAAGGGGCTGACCAACATCTAAAATGTAGTGATAGTACAACTAGAATGATTGCTTTTCACATAAAACACTTAATAGATCAAATAATTAAATACTACTGTTAGCTTTTTTCTAAGTCAATTGTAAATAACAAGCAATTATATATAGCTAGCTAGGAGTGTTAAATTTATATATACTATTGCTAGGGACTAATATAAATAGCATGGCATATGTTTCATAGAATTCAATGTATGAAATGATTCTGAAATGGCAAGTAGATTTTTAATATCGTACATATAGCAAATGTGAAGTACAATTGTTTGACGGGGAACTTACGTACAACACATTTATAAGTTGATATAATGCAAAATTTGTTGATCATATGAAGACCCAATTCGACTTTCATTTTAAATGAATTCATGTAAATGGCGACAATTAATGTCCACATATACCTTGTCATTCTATTTTCTCAAATCAGATTCTCTATCATCTCGTCTTTTTAAATATCTTTTTAATTTTATCTTATCGTACTGATGTACGGTAAACCAACTTGAGCTAATACACATTTGTCCTAGTCAGTTAGTCATCGTAGAGCGTCGTACAAATATGCTTTAGCCCAAATTGCCATACTGTATTAGCAAAACAAAACGAATAATGGAGTCGAAATAGTGTGGTAGAAATGATAATGAGAAAAACTTAACTTTGGGAGTATGACTCGAAAAGTTAGTTCGAAAAGGTATATATATATAAAGGAATACTAGGACTTAAGATCGAGAGTAAAATAAACTGTGAGTAAATTTGCGTCCTTGTGGACGATTTTGAGTCATGTTACCAGATTTCCTCAACCACTTATTCCGGTTATAACGTGGTCATTTTTGTCTGTCTCTATGTTGATTATGACTGACTGACCGAATCATATGATCAACAATATAAATTATTTGGTGTTTAACTGTTTTTCTTACAATAGTGTTTTTGAATCTATTTCGAAAACTGGTGATAAAACTGCGATTTCTGACTTCCCACCTATGAATTGTGTACCATCATTATGCACTACGAGTGATAACTATACGCTTCCGATTGAAAATACCACGACAACTCATCAACAGCATTATAGGAGTGGCGTTGCAATTGGTGATAACTGTAATGACGATGACGATGATAATGGGGAGATCGATTTTGAAGACAATGCGCCCGATTCTGTGGACAAATTACTGTCAGGTGAATGGATATTTATTAAATTTTTTCTGTACCCCTATATATCGTTTACAGCGCTAAATCTTTTCAATTTTGGAGTACACTTTATCCACTCCAGGATGTAACTACACTATAGGACCATTCCAGTCAAAATCAGTATGATATCTTCCAGTTCAAATCACACTACCATTGAAAACGTGAATAGCCATTTCGTCCTAGTTTTCAACTCGTCCGTAGAGCCCACCCACCACCTCGACCGTCCAGTTCTTCCAGATTTTCAATGGTGGTCTGGCTAAGATCAGCTTGTGATTTGAACTGATGAATGATATATTTTCCAGAATTCGTATGTTTTGTAAATCATCTGTGTTCGTTTATGTTTTCTTGATTCATCTCGAACGCCAAATAAGTTCGTCTCTATAATAAAGTTTCAGCAATATAACTGCATGGACTTTGTTCTTTATGTCAGTGTGTTTTTATTTTTCAATCACATATATCAGAAATACGTTGACTTTGTGATTAAAGTAATATTCATGTTTTTGTGTACAGTAAAGAACATGCTGTAACTGTTCAGTGATTGTCACTGATTAATGACCGATTCCATGCTTATCTTGTCTTTTAGAACTGACCTAATCCTATTCCCAAATTGTCTAAGTGATTTAACACTACGTTGAGATATCAATCGGTTGGTAAGGTATTCACTAGAAAACCTTGCTCGTCATCAATGCATACCTGAAATGTTGAGTGAACTGATAGTTCTTGTAGGATTCGACCCCACATCGCTCAGCTTCACATTCGTTACCAATTAGCAGCTATTCAAACAGTGACTGGCTTACATGTATTATTAGCTGAGGACATAATTCCACACTTGATTGAGTTAGTTCTTAAATAAAAATCTAACAATGCATCATATGTAAAAACATTTCATTGAATGATTTAAACATTGTTATTAATAGTTGTTCATTTATTTATTTATTTATTTAATTTTTGTTCTCACACAATCAATTATTATTAACTATTCGACCAGATACAACAACGAATAAAATCCCATTAAATTCAAGTAGTCCAACTCGTGATAATAATGGTAATAATGATAATTTAAACAATGAAGCATATACTACAACTAATCACATAGATGAGAATGACTTAATCTTTTTAACAACAACGACAACAACATCGTCAATGTCTCCACCATTGGAACTGTTGCCGCCTCCACTACCATCTCAACTCTCGTTAACAATGTTACCAACTAAAGACACTACATTATGGTCGACCACTGCTACTAATACTACTGCAAAAGAAACCCATTTACAAAATTCATCACCATTGGATATTACCTCGGCATCATTAAGCACTTGTAATTTCGTTGTTTATGATGATGATGATGTTGGTGGTGGTGGGGAAAGTGAAGGTGTAGGTAGGGCTGTTGACAATGCCGATGAAGAAGGTGATGTTGATGATGATGATGATTGTCGCAACTACCAATCATTTGAAGATTTGAAGTCAATTTCAAAAGAGGAAGATATTTTAAACGCCACAATTAACAGAATAGATACAGTTAATGAAACTACTGAACATCACAGTCATGACAACAACAACAACAACAAAGTCAATACCAACGACGACGATAACAGAAGAACTCATAATGAAATGAATAGAATTTTAAATCATTTGGAAATGTTATCAATAAATTCAGAAAAACAAAGTAAACAATTCGATTACATTTTAGGTGAGATTCTTTATAATGAGAAAAAAAATTTGTTTTTGTTTATTTGCAAAATACTTAGTATGTTTATTCGAAATGAATTGTTTTTATCACAATTACAATTTGTTATTTTCTATTGTGCAATGTATCGAATGATGCAGATGCACACTACTTGGTTGGGGGTCCGCGCGATTATTACAACCAGTGGTTGGAGACTCTGGGTGACATGGTTTAGAATCGATCACAATGGTGTATGTGTACACACTATTTATTCTGCCCTAAGCCGTTGGATTAAAATTGCTTTATACCTTTCTTTCTCGAACTCGAACCAGATAGCTTTAAGGCTGCAAAATCTTGTAAATTACCCTTACCGATGTTGTTATCTCTGTTGTTACTATAGTATTCGGGAAGTGAGAATACAAAAGACTGGTATAAATAAAGTTTATTGTCTGTTTAGAATGCATCACTACAATTAGTTGATGATAATACCATAATATACGGAGAAATATTTAGGGTTACTTCCAAAACACACTAAATTGACGCAGGAAATATAAATGTTACACTAAATAGTAGTTCGTACCTATAACTTTGGACGAAATTCATACTGAATGAATACCAAAAAATTGACCTGAAATTATATCACCTTCTTATCTCCTCATATCAGATATATTATTATTGTCTTTGATAAGCAGTATTACAAGAAGATCATTACACTAAGAAATTAACATTACTTACAGCTAAAAATAATATATTTGTAATATCCCAATGAGTAGAAAATCCAATTTTCTACTCATTGGGATATTACAAATATATTATTTTTATTTATAACAATCAACCCAATGCTCAATTTATTCGAAATTATCAAATCAAACCTTGGTAATGACACCTATTACTTACAGCATCAGAATAATCGTTATTCTATAGGATTTAACAGTTGATAATTAATACTTTCTTAGTACGAGCATTGTGACGTTATGTTCCATTTTTGTTACAATGCTGGTTGGCGACCTATGCTTCTCCTCATGGTGTAACAGGCGTAAGTAAGTAAATCTTGAAAAAAATGAAATAAAAATAGTGAACACAGAACAGTAATAGGCCTGTCTTTATCAGTATGTTTGATGGTTTTATGACTTACTAATTTCGTTAAATTTTATTTAATCTAATGGTGGAGAAGATTTGTAGCTCAGGTGGATGATTTTGGTGGAGTTTTTTTCTCTGAGCTGGATTGATCAATCCAATTTATCAATCAATCAGGAAAATCATGCATAAATATAGGAACAAAAATCAAACCAATAGGAGACACAACCAAAACAACGAAGTAAACAATGATAAGTTTAAGGTCAACAAGAACCAATCAACATCGAGGTGCACAGAACAAGCTATAAAACACGTATGGAGAAATTCGAACACTTCACTTCTATTTGAAGTTTGTGCTGATGATGTCGTTCAGAAGAACGATGAAAGCTCCACGACAAAACCATCCAGCTCAGAGAACAAAACTCCACCAAAATTTAGTCTAATCCATTGTTTTGTATACATTCTTACGATAACGATGTGAATATTACAATAATCATGTGGTTTAAGATCAACGACATAGTTGCGTTAGAGTCAACGGATAAAATATCAACCTGAAGAGAATCTCGATATGTACACTCAACACTAACAGTGATGAAATATTTTAAGTCCCTATAATCTCACTAATATAGTAAGAAACAGTGGTGTCTATGTGTGTATTGATGAAGACCTTCCAATTCGTATGTAGCAACTGTTCATTACTACCTAGTTTTCTCTGATTGATATATAGCAGTTCATAAGGAAAATAACCTTATGATTTACTACAATTGTGTTTCATCTGCCTCGAACATATTCACAACCAACGTTTAATCCCTTACATTTAGATTGTATATCTTGTCTCAATATCTGTGTCATAATGATAATGGTAATTAATAATACTTCATGATTATCCATTCTTTATTGATTACGAAACATTTTTGTTTTAGACCAGTTAAATGAAACAAAATTGAAACTTGAACGGCTTGAACAAACACAATTCGATATCATTGAACAAATAAACAATATTAATTACCAAGGATCACTAATGCCACCGACACAACCATCCAACATTGTCACAATGACCGAATCTAATGTGAATTTAGAACATTGGGAAATTAAATCTATTGAATTATCTAATCAGATAATTTCACAATGTAAGTCTTTTTATTTTATTTTGTTATACTGTTGCCTAGAATTCTAATAGTATGAGATTGTATTTGTATAATAATTAGTGTTCGTATGTTTTCATGTTCAGTTTGTTGCACAAACCTAGTAAGGCATCGCATTCCTTTATGGTTACCCAATTTTTAAAGCCTTCAACCTAGCTACAATGGTTCAGAGACAGCTTAGTTATATTGCCAGCCTTCAGCGTAAGCGTCTTCATGCGGACTTAACCTCATCACTGATCACTTCAATAGGCATTTTCAGGTCGCTCGTTCACGATTGCCGTCGTTCGTCAGTGCGCATGTAGGAAACAACTTAACATCTTGGACGAAAGTGTTTTAGTACTGGAAGCGCAGTGTTGGGTAATATAGGAGCAGGTTGACAGAAAGCTAATACTGGAAAACCAACAAATGACATTAGTTTATGAAGTGATTGATAATTTTACTTAACTGCATTCTCCGAAACAACACAGAATGCACCAATCCAATCACAATTGACGGAGAAGATTTGGAAGATGTTAAAATCTTTACATATTTGGACAGCATCATTGATGAACAGGATGGATCTGACGCAGATGTGAAGGCGCGGATCGGCAAAGCAAGAGCAGCATATTTACAACTGAGGAACATCTGGAACTCAAAGCAACTGTCAACCAACACCAAGGTCAGAATTTCCAATAAGAATGTCAAGACAGTCCTACTGTATGGGGCAGAAACTTCCAGAACTACGAAAACCATCATCCAGAACATACAAGTGTTTGATAACAGTTGTCTACGCAAAATATTTCACATCCGTTGGCCGGACAATATTAGCAACAACCTACTATGGGAGAGAACAAACCAGATCCCAGCGAAGGAAGAAATCAGGAAGAATCGCTGGAAGTGAATAAGACACACATTGAGGAAAGCACCCAACTGCGTCACAAGACAAGCCCTCACGTGGAATCCACAAGAACAAAAGAAAAGAGGAAGACCGAATAACACATTACGCCGAGAAATGGAAACAGATATGAAAAAAAATGAACAAGAATTGGATGGAACTATAAAAGAAGGCCCAGGATAGGGTGGGTTGGAGAATGCTGGTCAGCGGCCTATGCTCCATTGGGAGTAACAGGCGTAAGTAAGTAAGTAAGCATCTTTAGCTTCAAACTGTCTGGTATATGTCCACACAATCATCATAGTCACTGGTTGAAAACTTTGAGATTGACATGGCGCACATTCTATTACAGGAACGTAGATTCATTCATTCATTGTCTCCCCCACCCCGAGATTCTAATTTTCTAACTATCTTGTTATTTCTCACCTCATGAAATTCATATTTTTTTCAATTATATTGCCTATGTCTGGTCGTTTATGCCACCACTAATACTGTTATTACCTTTATTACTCTAGTACTTGTTCCGAAAACTTCAACTCTTTATGTTAATTGAATATGACAAGTTGAACTGGCAATACATATGTAACACTTCCTAAATTGTATCTGACTGACTGATTTGACATCATTTCTAACTATCTTTTATTGCTCACTCGGTTATTCCATAAAACACCAGCATTGTTTTAAAGATAATTATAATTCACTAAATTATTAGAGAACTCGGATACAGCAGAATTATCACGCCATTTTTAATTACATCATCAAATATATCGATTATTTGTGTTTGTGTGTGTGTGTGTGTGCCGATTTCTCTCACACATAAACATCATGATCCATAAATTATCTAGTAACAATTCTTCTTTTTTTTCATCAAATTACTACCCTTGATTACATTAGTTAAGTTGAAAATTTCGCGTAGTTTATAAATTCGTTTGTTGTTTTTTCTACCTAAATAGATGAAACAATGTTCTGTTTGAAAAAAAGTCATTTGTTTATCGGTTTTTCTAGTGTGTTAATATAACATGCATATTCATATATGGCACATTTTCTCATTATTAGGTATTTTATTTATCGAAAAAAATAGTAACTGAATGTATTGATAAATATTACAATTGTATTTTAATGGAGTATTGTTCTCTGAACTGGATGATTTGGACGTAGAGATTTCATTCTTCTTCCTCTTCTTCTTCCTCTTCTTCTTCTTCTTCTTCTTCCTCCTCTTCTTCTTCTTCTTCTTCTCCTCCTCCTCCTCCTCCTCCTCCTTCTTCTTCTTCCTCTTCTTCTCCTCCTCCTCCTTCTTCTGAACGACATCTACCAGCACAAACTTCAGATAGAGCTATAAATCTTCTCCACCAACTCAATGAAAACTGTACAAATAAACAGAGAGATGAATGATAGAGCTTACGTGTTAGAATACTTGACTTTTAATATTTATTCAGTTACAAATTTTAAAAGAATAATACTGAAGTGCTTTATCCCATATATTATTAATGTCTAGTAACTCGTTTAATAGTTAAAATTGATGCCTATGGTTGTTTAACTCATAAAATGATGATGGGAGTGCGGTTCATTATTGTAGTAGTAGTAGTAGTGTGGTGTGTGCTACTTATATCCACATAAGTAGTATATAACGATGGTCAGACAAAATGTATTTCAGTGGAAGATCTAGAGGGTAAGAAGGGGGAGGAGTAACGGAGAGTAGTTGGTTTGAAAATGCAGGAACAATAAAATCTTAGATAATGAACTGAGATTTGCAAAAGAAACAGTCAAATTTGAGACGATGGATTGCTATTTTGCAAATTAACTATTTACTATATGGTTCTCAGATTTTAGTGAGATGTATTGTAATTTTGTGCTCCAATACATTCGATCGTCCCCACTCGTTTTCTTGTTCACTACGGTAGTAGTCAGATCATGAAAAAGCATAACTTCGTTTGTCGTTATTTTTTTGATTATATATATATATATTCTGAAAATAATAATTACAGTATTCACGCCAGTTTATAGGCATAATAAATTTGATATAAATTGCAACATTAGATGTAAAGAAAAAACATGTGATATAGGATAGTTTTAAGTATACTAGTTCAGTAATTGTTTATGTAGTACATGTATATTACAGCAATCCAATGCATCAACCGGGAACTCTTAATTTTTCTTAAGTGGACAGTCTGTTGATTTATGAATGGTGTATTTAAGATCATTTCCTGTGCTAAAACGAATTAATTATAATTATCTACAACAAGAGAAAGTAAAACAAAAATAGAGAGCACGGAACAACAAGGCGGTAATTACCGAAATATGTCAATCAGATCTACCGAAATGCATGTTTCATGTGACACAGTGATATACTGTTAATGTAAGATATTAGTCAAATTATTTAGGGTTGCTAGGGCGAGTGTTAACGTAAAGTGACAGCAGGTAGGTGGTTTTAAGCTTCTATAATCTCAGTTGTGGAATAACATACACTTATAGATGCTAGAAAATTTCATGCTTTTTCAGAGGAGCAGTATGCATCAATTCAGCGAACAAAGAATGCGTGTGATTTTATCGTACGGGTAGATTATGGTAGATTATTCCAGACTCATAAAAACTTACAGTTAAAGTAGTTCATATGGAGAAATGATTTAGAATGAGTTTGTTTCACTAGTCACACAAGGGGTTACGGATGTCGTAATTAGAAATTTCTGCATATTGAATTATTTGATTAGATGTAAAGAATAGTTTATTAAGTATTTTGAAGAAAAACATAAGATTTACTTTGAGTCTCCTCTTCTATAAACGGTTGAGCCCGAATTGACTACATCTGGAATTTTAAGTCAAGGTACAACCAGTTCCAAGAATACGAAGTGTGGATCATCTATTGGTTCACTACTCTCACCATTAATGTGATGTTGATGAAAATTATATTTACAAATGATATGGATTAGGTTTGTTGTCACTGGGTAAAGATAATTGAGATTTCTATCTACAATTTTAAGTATCGGTTAACATTATTGATCCTATTTCACTTTTCGATTTTTTTTTCTGTGATTGATTTGTTCCTGTTGTGTCTGAAATTGAAATCCGACTAGTTGTACAGATTGTTTACAATAAGTCATAAACAACATTGAACGTGACACTTGTGTGTATCAGTTCAAGTTGTCACAAACGATTAACATAAAGAGATGAAATTGTCAGAACAAGTACCAGAGTAATAAAAGTAGTAACAGTATTAGTGGTAGCATAAACGACCAGACATAGACAATATACGAAGTTGCGCCACCATACACCATTGTCTTCAGTGAGTCCCATACTAGGACGAAACGGCCGTCCAGTGCTTCCAGGTCTTCCGTGGTGGTCTAGCTTCAATTGACTCATGATTTCAACCAGTGAAATTTCTAAAAACCCATTCTGATAATAGACAATATAATTGAGAAAAATATGAATTCATGAGGTGAGAAATCACAAGATAGTTAGAAAATTAGAATCTCGGGGTGGGGGAGACAATGAATGAATGAATCTCCGTTCCTGTAATAGAATGTGCGCCATATCACTCTCAAAGTTTTCAACCAGTGACTACGATGATTGTGTGGACCTATACCAAGTAGTTTCCACCCCTATAATTGAATATTAGTAGCCTAATAACACCCTGTGTTTTAAAAACCACTTTTCACACCCATAAAGTAGAACGGAGTTAATTGGTGAACAGTATACTCGTCCTTTAGTTGGCAGACAATACTCTTGCATACACCACAAGTGACTGAAGCTAACAAAAATCATTTGAGATTTCTAAATTCTTGCCGAGATTTCGTCAGAATCTAATCAACACCAGTTGATCAGACTTCCAAGATAAATGGTGTGATCAGTACGCTCAACTAGTTCACTTCCTGTCCTTATTTCAAGCATTGATATACACTAGTCCTGATGCAACATTTTGCATTTAAATGGAAAGAACTGCATTCCGAATATGCTTTTGTTGTTTCTCAAGGTGGATTTTTTCATCTTTCCATAGTCTTCTCCCGATAGAGCTATATCACCTGTGTATTCTAAGTCAACAAGTGAGTCTCCTGGGATATTGATTCCTGAAAAATCAGACGACAAGTGTCATCTCTAGAAAGGGATGCCTGTGAAAAAGGGGTAAATGAATTACCCTGACGAAGACCACTTGAAGCTATCAGTTCTGATGTTAGTTCTTCATAAAGTTTACCTCGAATAGTAGTGTTAGTTTATAGCTCGGTTTTAAGAGACCAGTAATAGCATTTTGTGGTTTAAAGTCGTTAGCATTGATTAATGAGGTGGTGAATCCTTGCCAACTTAAGTGGTTGAAACTTATGTTACGTATGCCTAAATACTGCCTTCCTCGACGAGTGATGCTTAGTAGTGTAGATGTAGATTGGAAGAAAACCAGAGATGGTTAAACCAAAATATGGCATCAGTCTGTGAATTCATTAACTTATCAGAATGGGTTTTGTGGAGAGTTTTAGAAATTTCACAGGTTGAAAACACGAGTCAGCTGAAGCTAGACCACCATTGAAAACCTGGAAGCACTGGACGGCCGTTTCGTCCTGGTATGGGACTCCTCAGCAGTGCGCATTCAACTGACTCATGATTTCAACCTGTGGAATTTCTAAAACTCTCCCCAAAACCCATTCTGATAATAATCAACTGCTCATTAGTGGCTGACTTCAAGAAAAACTCCTGGAGTTCTAGTGAGAAGCCGTTACCAGTGGAGTTCAACCAGGTCTGTTGTGAGATATCAACTCACTGAAGACAATGGTGTACGGTGGCGCAACTTCGTGGATTGGTTGAAGTTAGACATTAACACCGTTGGATGCCGGCCAGCTCAGTGGTCTAATGGTTAAGTGCTCGCGCGCGAAGCCAGTAGGTCCTGGGTTCGAGCCTCGCGTGGTGCGGGATCGTGGATGAGCACTGCTGAGGAGTCCCATACCAGGACGAAACGGCCTTCCAGTGCTTCCAGGTTTTCAATGGTGGTCTAGCTTCAACTGACTCATGATTTCAACCTGTGAAATTTCATTAACTTGTTCGGAACAATGTTGGTAGATACAGACTACCTAATTAGTATCCTCATGATAAATGCGTTCATTGTTTTAAGATGTTAAGTGACATGGCTCAGATCGCCACTAAGCATTAAAACGTAAAATTTTATTTATATCTTGTAAATACGTCTAACTTTTATCTTGTATTCATTATAGTACTGTCTTCCGACTTGTATACACAAAAAGTGTAAGATAAAATAACCAAAGAATAGATGAGGTTGAAAGAACACTACTTACTTTTCATATTATTTGGTAGTATATATGATACTCTAATAAATTCCTTTCTCTTATTGATCATACTTGATCACCAATTATATTTTTTTTTGTTTTTACAAAAAAATTTCAGTACGAACTGTTCAAGGGGATTTTTCACGTCGTTATGCAAAAATTTCTGAAAATATGAATAAAATCTTATCGAATATACAAGATTCAAATCATTCAATGAAAACAAATATGTTGCATAATTTAGAATCACGTGTTAATGCCTTGCCAACTATTACATCGGATTGTATCAGACGTGTACTACATGAAGAATTATTAAGAGTATTTTCAAATAGTAAGTAGTAGTAATTTTTTTTCTCAACTGTTGTTGGTTGGCTCTATTACTAATTTGGAAACTTATGTTGTTCATAATAGTGGGGGGGGGAAATGGTACTCAGCAACAGTGAGTCGATACATCAGTAAATAAGAGAAATAAAAAAAAACAATCACTCACAAGCATTAAAACTAAGATTGCTGGATAATCAAAATAAGTGATTGAAAGATTAAGTCTTTAAATGGATTCTATGTCGTATAATTGAAGAATTATATTTTTGTTACAACAAGTAGAATTGAATACTTGTTGGTAGCCTTTTGACCTACATATTGAATGGTTATTTGGTTAATAATCTATTGTCATGTTAAGTCAGTTGAATATTTTGTATATAAATAATGGTTACTGTGTTATCTGTATTTCTTAGCTGGAAATTGTAACAGTTTTTGTTATATTTTCTCGATCCCATTATTTGTAATTGAATTGAACTGCAGTCTACATATACAAAAAAAAACCTAAGCTAACAATATTTCTTACTTATTTCTATGATATTGATCGTGGTTGCTACCTTAAAAATAATGGTTGGATTTGTGTGTTATGATAACTCATTCGATTTATTTTGACTGGAACACTTGTTTCTTTAAGTCTTACCACACCTGGTAAATTGGTTAGAGGATAGTTGGACTAAAAATTTCAAACTCATAATCTGAAATCGTAGCCAACGTGCTGACTGTGTACCAAGGAGTATAGTGGCATCAAAGTGTTTCCCCCAAACACCAAGGATCTTCACTGATACTGCCTTTTCATAGTTCATAGCTGAAGGGAGGGGCTAGAGATGGATGGTCCTAAAAATACCTCACTTCACCTAACGCCTATATATATATATGACTATACTGCCTGTCTGTAGGTGCTACTAAAGAAGACGACTCATTGTTGTGTCTGTTATTTTTCCTTATCTCACAGCTGTCTTTTCATTGTTAATATTCTGTTGCCTTTTTTTTGGCTAATTAGATTTATCGCGAATTGTTGAACCATTGCAACAGTCTTTATTTAATGTGTTAAAAAATCATTTATCTACATTGCCAACAACATTAACAGATAATGTTCAACGTACTCTACGTGAAAAGGTGAGATTTTAACTAATTAATCATTCAGACTTATTAACTAATTCTTTGTAACATGATATATGTGTATTGGTAATTATAATATTCAATTTATATGTATGTACAATTTCATTATATTATGATTGGTAATGATTACCGATAGTTCACACATTTACATCAAATTTCATTGTGCTAATAATCTTAGATCCTTCCATTCGAATTTGAGCTCTTCTTCGAGTATGAATAGAGATATTATGATAATTCTTACTTCTTGCTTTACCAGACCGTGAAAGTATTTCTTGTGAGGTATTTGAAAATGAATTGGGCTTAGTCTCAAAATTCTGGGACTCTGACCTCCAATGCTCAAGAGACAGCTGTTTGAACTCGGTCAAACACAACCTTTTTTGTGAATAGCTTTTAGTATGCTAGCTCCGTGCTCTTATGACCTTACCATCGAGGACATACATTCATGGCCAAGATGAGATTTTCCATTTTCAAGCCTCGCTTTTTCTAAACTCCCACTTCCCTGTGAGAAAAAAAATCATCGCTGCAGATGTGTGTTCTTTGAAGAAAACAACTTACCACTCACTACTACTTCGCTCTTAACATTTAATTTGCTGCTTTTCGTCGTACAACTCTTTGACCAACCTCCTTGATATGATAGTGCTCTAAAAGAGATAAGTGTCCTGGCCATATCTCCAATAACTCATTACCATATCAAGATAGCATCCATGGTTATGTGGAAGCTTACTGGTATTAAACACATTGATTCCATAATGGTATTCGATCAATAATAAAAATTGATGTGGTCTTTTATCTCATTGAATATGTCGTAATTCCATACATCAAGCAATTCCCTCTTACATCCCAATATGCAACATTCATAGATGGAGAAATGATTGAAGTTGCTGAATACAGTATATTTATTCAACAGTGAAAATCTCAGCCGAATTAAACAACATAGGATTCTGAACATACAAACTAACTAATTGAAAACTGATTACCTAACAACTTTTTATCCATTTTATGTATCTTTGTAACAATTAATTTGTTTGTTTCTATGTTTATAAAATTTTTTTTTTCAGAATTTCACTACACAAATTGTACGATCTGCATCTGGAATATTATCCACGGAACTATCTAATGCTTATCGTGATTCATTAAATAAAATTTATGTTCCAGCCTTAGAAAAATCCACTAAGAAATTATTCACAGATCTTAATAATGTTTTTCAACTTGGTACACAACAATGTATGTTTTAATTAGAAAATTTATAAACAGTTTCTTTTATTATGTAAGGAATTTCATTAACCGTATACATCTTCGTTCATTCAACAAGTGAACAAGAACAGTTTAGCATGTTTTTTATGAGTTAGTCATAATGATTAAGGTAAAGTCCGGTATAAATATGTTCCAGCTCAAACTATCACATCGATACAGTAAGATGAGATTAATGGGAGAAATAGATAATTAAAATAGAATACTCAAGATGTAGGAATATGCTTCTCAAGGAAGTGTTGAGAAACATGTGTATATGGATGAATATTAGAACTCATAATTTAATTGGAGATGAAAGCTACATAGATCTGTGACAATTCAACCGATTCCCAGTCATGTTGGGAAGCATAATACAATGAGACATTCCTGGAGTTCTAGTGAGAAGTCGTTACCAGTGGAGTTCAACCAGGTCTGTTGTGAGATAGGAACTCACTGAAGACAATGGTGTACGGTGGCGCAACTTCGTGGATTGGTTGAAGTTAGACATTAACACCATTGGATGCCGGCTCAGTGGTCTAGTGGTTAAGTGCTCGTGCGCGAAACCAGTAAGTACTGGATTCGAATCCCGCGAGGTGCGGGGTCGTGGGTGCTCACTGCTGAGGAGTCCCATACTAGGATGAAACGGCCGTGCAGTGCTTCCAGGTTTTCCATGGTGGTCTAGCTTCATTTGACTCATGATTTCAACTTGTGATAATACAATGAGTTTTATCCATTTTTTACAACTCCGGATAGTGTGTTTGATCTATGTGTTCATTTTAATCATTTCTGCACTACATGTGTCGATGAGGATTCATAGTCTTCTGAACAACAGCTTAACCATCTTTGATTGATACCCTACATTTTATGTTAGCGTTGCTTACCTCATTTAGTTATTAATTCTAAATTTAACGGAATAACGAAGTTAACTATTTTGGGTGTGGCATTTGCCAAATATTTATTTATTTAAACACATAAACATTGGTACAAGGAGGCACCAGATAGATATGCACCGCATAAATCATTCAATTTGTGTGAGGGTTGGCATACTCCTGGGGTTCCCAGACCGAAGCAGGTGGTTTCCTTAGGAGGCCACAACCGGAGCCTTCGGCCTAGATGTCTGATACACAAGGCAATGGAGCATCGTAAGGAGATGCAGTCATATGGTAGCCGGTGACTAACGATTGGTTCATACACCATTCGTTCCCTCAGGATACGCGAGCCCATGTGCACCAGTGATTTGGAATCGGAGTTTTCCAACTCCCCCATGTGAGCTTTCCGTGTCAGCCAACCCGGTTAGAGCGCCGGACATTCACTTTCCGTCCTCTCAATTTCGTAAACAACACCCCTGGTGAGAGATGGCAATGAGTAGAACTTCCCTGGCGGAGGCTACATACGCGTGGTCATGTGAGAGCATTTGGAGAGGGAGAGCCGACCCTCCTCACTCTCGGTCGTACCAGGGCATTTGCCAAATAGCGATACTTAGTGCTCATCATTATGTGTACGTAGCTACTGTTCACTCAGGCGCACTGTTCATATAGCTGACAACTTCTGACTAGGTAAACATTCTGATTATTTCTTATAAATTACTCCTTTACACATGTCTTTAACCTGCTGTACAACATTTGGACTCCTGTATAATTTGACGAATGTAATGTGTCTAGTTTACACTGATATCAGTTCTTTGCTTTCTTTCGTTAACAAAATCTTTATTTTTACTTGTGATCCTCTAATTATTGACAAACTATTTTTTTTCTATTTTTATAGATTTAAATCAAATTTCATCTCGTATTCAAACTCCATCTTTTGATGCTACAAATTTTACACCTTTGATGAATCAAATATCATCCATGATAAAAGTAAGCAATGATGATAGACCTAATAAACCTTTATTTTTAACTAATCCAGATATCTGAAAACAAAGTTCTGAGTAATAGGAGTCGCTAAAACGACATGCATAAAATGTATCCAAGCGCGTTACATTCATCCTAAAGCTGATCTTTTAAGATCTTATCATAAATTAAATGATGTTATACAGCATTAGCAGACGTTAGCATCATTTTCACAATGCTACCACCATGTTCAAATAGTCATTCGAGTGTATTGCTTATTTAGCACACAAAACTATTGAACATCTCAGATATCAAAGAATCGATATGTGTGGGACACTATTTTGTAGATGGTTGAATCGGGATTTATTATCTGCTCACTATTGCCTTCGTTTTTGTAACACGTTTACGTTGACAGATTTTGCAGGCGTTACGTTTTTTAAAGAAAAGACCCATATATATAACACTTGCAATTTACTATAATAAGGGAGAAAACTGTCTTAACATAGCAGTATTTGATAGTCAAGATGTTTTTCGAAACTGTAAGCGAATTCACTCATTCATTCATGTCTCTATCTTTCTAGTTGATAGAGGATTACAACCATGTTGATCGATTTGCCATCTTTACCCATAGTGCTCTACCTCCTAACATCAGTGTTCATAACTCAATTATTGCAATATACAAATAAGCAGTAATTTAAAGATATCCACGATCTGATACAAACAATTGACATACCTTTGCTTTTAAAGATCATTTCTTATATTCGTCACTTAGTTCAAAAATGATTTAGATTATATCTGCTGTTTGATAAACAAAGTGATACCACTCTCTTGCATTATTAGTTTTTTATATCGCCATATGGATAAGTTAATTGTCACTATAGATGATTACAAAACTATATTTAGTTGGTGTACTCATCGAACAAGTGGCCTGTATCATGCTTGTACTCCAAGTCAATGATGATAAAATTTAAACGGGATCAGGGATGCGTACTGATGGACAGTTCCATATTAGGATAAAACGCCATCCAGCGCTTCCAGATTTTCAGTGGTAGTCTACCATTGATCAATTCATGATCTCAATTCAAACTCAACAATCTCCACAACTGTGTACTGATAAAATTAATGAGTTATTTCTACGAGTATATCGTTGAAAAGAAATTAGTGAATAAATATTGTACTAATTAATGTAACCGATACACAGTCCATTTGCAATAGCAGATACCTGCTAGACACCCCCCCCCCAATTAATGGAATTAAATGATACTTTCCAGTTAAATAATGTAGTTAAAAACGGATGATAGTGACCAATATAGTGTATAGAATATATATAGTGATAAGTAGGTATTCTTTTAGTGTATCATCTACTGTCAGATGTAAATACGATCATCATTACCATCATCGATCTGATTTTTCTCTAACCCACTATTCTTTGTATCTTGACTAGCCCTTGTAAAATGCTAATCACTATACACTACAGAATTAATGTTTCCTTTCATTTTATGTGTTCTTTCTTTGTAGTATTATTGTGTTTTCTTTTCTCTTTTCTTATTTAGTCAACTCTTACTGAAACATTGAAAGAAGTTGAAAGTAAACGTGGCAATTCTTCTTCTCTTAAACTAAATCAATCATCAGATTCATATCCAACTAATACTATTGATCGTAATGATCATTATTCAGATGTAGTATTCGACAATGTAAAGCATAAACAATCCAATTCAACAATGTTGGATAAAACAGCTGTGAATAAAAAGTCATATAATCGTCATTTAAATAAGTCAGGTATTGTCAATACTCCTCTTGTTAGTGGTAGCAATAGTAACAATAATAGTAATAATAATAATCCTAGTGTAAAGAATAAAATACAAACAACTAATGAGAGTCCATATTCATCAAATCTACTTCCACAACCACCACTATCAACATTAACAACAACAACAACACCAACATCGTCATCATCAATGAAGCAAGATAAATTGACACGTTTATTTCGACAAGCTCAAGTGTTGATTCATTCAGATCGTTTAGTTGATGCTTTGGAATTGGTAATGTTTAATTATTTTCATTATAATATAATATAATAATATTGAAAATTCAATCACTTAGATATTAGTGAATTAATCAAAGAGCTACATATTTCACATATTAAGATAATAAAATATACACTATAAAAGAGTAAATATTCAATAGAAATACTTATCTGTCATTTGTGTACGTTAAGATCATTTGAATTGAATAAACATTGATGATTACTTCGTAATCAATTCATATGAATGATTTCAGTTCTGTATAAATGGTTAATCATAGTCTAAATTTCTTTAAGATAACGTGACAAGGATTTGACGAAGTGAAGTTTTAGGTTCTTTATAATTTCAGATACGTTTGACTGACTGATGAAAGCTAAATTGGCATTGAAAGTTAGGTCAGATAGTGTTTCTTGTCAGTTGCCTTCAACTGTCTTAAATATAATGTATATATATATCAGATGGGTTTTGTGGATATTATAGTAATTTCAATGGTTAAGATCATGGGTCAGTTGAAGCTAGACCACCATGGAAAACCTGAAAGCACTGGACGGCCGTTTCGCCCTAGTATGGGACTCCTCAGCAGTGCTCATCCACGACCTCGCCCCTTGCGAGATTCGAACCCAGGATCTGCTGGTTTCGCGCGTGAGCACTTAACCACTAGACCACTCAGCTGGCCGGCATCCAACGGTGTTAAAGTCTAAATTCAACTAATCCACGAATTTGCACCACCGTACACCATTGTCTTCAGTGAGTTGATATCTCACAACAGACCTGGTTGAACTCCACTGGTCACTATTTCTCACTAGAACTCCAGGATATACTTCGTGAAGCCAGTCACTAGTGAGCATATGTTGATTAATATCAGAAGGAGTTTTTGAGGATATTATAGTAATTTCAATGGTTGAGATTATATATATATATATAACCTTCGAGAAAATAGACGATTAAATTTCTCGAGATTTATTTTAAAGGATTGGACATTGTAACATATATTTTACTGGTATTCTCTGGGAGTTTATACAAATGTAGTGATCATCCCACTAAAGTGTATTCTTATTTAAATTGATATAAACTACGTAGATGACATATTAATGTTAGTTATCTTAATGGTTATCATCAAATGCCCTGGTTCGGCCGAGAGTGGTCAAAGTCCGCTCTCCCTGTCGAAATGCTCTCACATGGCCACGCCTATATAGCCTCTGCCAGGGAAGTTCTACTCACAGCCTTCTCTCACCAGGGGTATTGTTTACGAAATTGACAGGACGAAAAACGAATGTCTGGCGCTTTAACCGAATTCCAAACCAATGGTGCACATGGGCTCCAGTATCCTGAAGGAACAAATGGAGTATAAACCAATTGTTGGTCACCGGTTTCCATGGGACTGCATCTCCTTACGATGCTCCACTGCGTTGTGGATCAAACCTTTTGGTCGAAGGCTCCGGGTGTGGCTCCCTAAGAAAACCACCTGCTTCGGTTTGGGCACCCGGGCAGTATCACAGCCCTCACACATATCGAATGAGATTTGTGTGGCGCATATATATTTGGTACCTCCTTTTACTAATATATATGTTAAAATAAATAAAATAAAAATTGGTTTTACTTACATCTTAATGAATGTTTTAATAATAAAATTTTGATTGAAATTTAACATACTATTTTATTGAAATTATGAATTGATCCAAGTTACAGTTACTATTAAGAACCTGGATCAGTTTATGATTTCAATGAAATTCACCAATCTCCACAACCCCCCATACTAAGTATTACTTCATACAAGTAATGTGATATGTGTGTATCATAACGAAGGCCTATTGAACTTGGGGTTAACCAACATAATGACAAAGTTATTACAACAACAAAAACAAAAAACTTCATTTGTTAATATACGAAATATAAACTATACACGAAGAAAAATATACTTGACGTTACTTAAATTGTCAGGAGTAGGTGTATTCAAGTTTGTTGTTTTTTTTTTGGTCTTGTATTACACAATTATAAATAGTTAGTCATTACAACTATAATCCAGATAAAGCATGTAATGAGGTTATCTCTATGATCTGTAAACATAAACAACAAATATATCAGAGTTCTGTTATCATGGTATCAGGGTATAATTCAAAACTAAGAAGTATATATGTACAGCAGTGTATTTATCACCGATAAACAATGTATCATGCAAGAAGCGTTCAAAACCAGAAGAGATGGTCAAATTAATTCATAACTAAATTCTTGCTTTCTGATTCACTAATGATAAGCCTCTATAATCGTTTATCAGATTATTAAGGTTTCAATTAAGTCTAAAACATTGAATAATATTGGTTATAAATAAATGTCATAAGTACGTAAGTTACTATAGTGTTGATTAAGATAATGAGAGGAAACATTCAGATATTAAAATTAAAAATTATGAATATGAATAAATGTAATCATGAACAATATATTTATATAAGCAAAGATAGATAGTGGCTCGCAGGGGAATCCAGGACGCACGTTTTGTCCTTTTTTGGGGGACTCGTCAGCTGGATGTACCTGCATCTCAGAATTGATGTTCACTCTGGGAGTCGAACCCAGTACTGTTCTCTTTAAACGCTATTACGTTATGCACTTAGCTACTGAATCCTGTTAGCCACCTGCTTGTGCAATGGATTGAAGTTATATTCACTTGATGTGAATATATTTATATAAATTATTTTAAAAAAAAGGAGAATTTCCTTACTTTGCTTTGTCCTCTGTATAACTTCAGATTTATTTATGATAAGAGTTAATATTTAACATATCCATTTATTAATTATTCCGGTTATCAGAATGGGTTTTGTGGAGAGTTTTAGAAATTTCACAGGTTGAAATCATGAGTCAATTGAAGCTAGACCACCATTGAAAACCTGGAAGCACTGGACGGCCGTTTCGTCCTGGTATGGGACTCCTCAGCAGTGCGCATCCACGACCTACTGGCTTCGCGCGCGAGCACTTAACCACTAGACCACTGGGCCGGCATCCAACGGTGTTAATGTCTAACTTCAACTAATCCACGAAGTTGCGCCACCGTACACCATTGTCTTCAGTGAGTTGTTATCTCACAACAGACCGGTTGAACTCCACTGGTAATGGCTTCTCACTAGAACTCCAGGAGTTTTTCTTGAAGTCAGTCACTAATGAGCAGTTGATTATTATCAGAATGGGTTTTGTGGAGAGTTTTAGAAATTTCACAGCTTGAAATCAGTGGTCTAGTGGTTAAGTGCTCGCGCGAGAAGCCAGTAGGTCCTAGGTTCGAGCCCCGCGTGGTGCGGGATCGTATTTCCGTTATATCCCCTGTATGATAAATGATACAATAATCAATAAACAGTTATTACGACTAATTGACCTCTCTATTGATCGTGAAGCTATTTCCAACTTAGTGTCTAGTCAAAAGATGAAATTGGAATACAGATATCTTGTCTATTGTACCTTATTTATTCATAACTCAAGATGCATACAATAATAATATACTACTTGAATTTTCTGACCACATATCAACACACACACACAGAAGGAAATGGCAATGCATGCAAAATTTATTTCAAAAACGGAGTATTAAAGAAATAATTGATCAATTATTAATAAATCTTAAACAGTAAAATAGATAACAACGTTTTTCTTGTTCGAACAAATGCTTTCAAATAGAGAAATATAGAAAATATTTATGAGAGTTCAGTATTGCTCATTATTTATTATATATTTTAACACATAGATACAAGGAAGCACCAAATACATATGCGCCACACAAATCTCATTCGACATGTGTAAGGTCTGTGATACTCCCCGGGTGCCCAGACCGAGACAGGTGGTTTTCTTAGGGGGGCACTCGGAGCCTTCGACCTAGAGGTCTGATTCACAAGGCAGTGGAGCATCGTAAGGCGACGCAGTCATATGGTAGCCGGTGACTAGCGATTGGTTCATACGCCATTTGTTCCCACAGGATACGGTAGCCCATGTGTACCATTGGTTTGGAATCGGAGTCTTCCAACTCCCCCATGTGAACCTTCCGTGTCAACCAACCCGGTTAGAGCGCCGGACTTTTTGTCCCCTCATTTTCGTAAACAACACTCCTGGTGAGAGAAGGTAATGAGTAGGACTTCCCTAGTGGAGGCTATATACGCGTGACTATGTGAGAGCATTTGGAGAGGGAGAGTCGACCCTCGTCCGTACCAGGGCATTTTGGGGCTCATTTACTCCTCTATATTCCAATAAGGATGATGAAAATAATAATAATCCATAATTTTTAGATCATGTGTTTGATTAGTAGACGAAGAACAATAACTAATTCTAACTGCGCATTTTTTGTAAATCATGTGTATTTATCCATTACGCCACAATGTTATTATTCTTCGTGTTGTGTATGTCTGTAATCGATTTTGAAATTCCCTATTTAAGTACTTTCTTTTTATATAGAGTGATAGCGAGCGAAAGTATAAGCCCCGAGTTTAAAACCCAGGATTGATCTGATACAACAGAGTAGTGGGTGATCGATCCGGTCTTTGCTACCGTCTAGGTTGGCTAGCAGAGTTGTCTCCACTACCCAGCAGTGCCACAGGGAGGCTTTAGGTCGGATTTTGTTTCCATGTAAAGAAATAACATGTTTGTAGTTTTAGTTAATTATTAGTATAAGAAGCAGTTGTGTGTTGCCTTTATGACCGAGGAAATAGCGTTTATAAATATTATTATTTCAGTATTCAAAATGGGATAGATTGATCTCTAATATATGTATATATTTATGAGGTAATTATTGAAAACCAAAAGTCACTGAACAACTATTTCTTGCTTACATGAAAGTATTGCTTAGTAACTACACATCCATGACTCCACTAGTGACTGTTGAACCCAGGACCTTGATATTTCGCAGCAAATGCTTTTTATCCAATCTACTGGGATCTCATTCAGTGGTTTTGTTTATATTCATTCCTCTCTGATTTTCAATGTTTTATTTATTTAACTAAAGTCACTTGGTGATGTAAATCTTCGATTTTAAAAATTTCCACAACATCCTATTGTGTTTCTCGTTAATAGTTGAAAATCTCCATAACTCGAGGGGTAACCTACCACATTGTGTAAGATGACAAATGTTCAAATCAGTTTCTTACAAGATCGATGATATATCTTGTCGATATATGTGACAAATCAACATGTTCAACTCTCTGGTTGATCAAATGATCTCTACTAATTTAGATAATGTCATATGTAAAGTTGAAGAGGTTAACAGAACTAATATTAGATATATGCCCATTAGATTTCAAATAAATTGACTGATGATACATGAACTTATTGATACATGTAAATTCTATAAATAAAAAATGTTTAATCAGACAAACAGAGATGATCATTAAAAGAAAAAACAACAACAATATAATTAGCATTATTCTGAATATTGAAAGTTAATCAACATTACTACGTTTGAGATTGGTGTAAGTACAAACAGAATAGATTTGAATTTTAGTTTTATTAAAAGGGCGGCCAAACCAAAACGTGGCATCAGTCCACAAAGTCACTAACTTCTAGTCTGAGCCATGTTGGTAGATGCCGACTACTTGGTTAGAGTCCGCGTGACTATCGTAACCAATGGTTGGAGATTGTGGGTGATATGGCTCAGAATCGATCACAATGGCGTCGGTTTATAACACTCTGTCTTCCCTTAAACTAAGAGATTAAAATGACTTCATATCATTCTTTCTACGAACTAATTCTTTCTCCCTGTATTATATCCTTATATGCAATCTTTCTTTTATGTATTACCACCATTGGATTAACTACTTTTATGAAACCGGTGTCATTCTTGTTGTGTTAATGAGATATGGAAACTTGGACCAATGCATATATGTGCCTGGTCCTACGTTGTAGCTGACTGACAGACTGACCTAGAGTCACTTGGAGCTAGTCCTCCGAAATATTGACTTTTCGCCTAACCCAGCCGGTTCAGTCCGGAACGCCAATATTAGCCTCCTTTATATGAATCATATATTTCACACATGATTGGTTTACATACAAGCCAAACAGACCACATCATACTATGAAATAGAAAATAACATTTGTACAAGATCAACCCGAAGGTAGCTATGGTTGTGAGATACTGTAACTAATAAATTGGGAATAACTTAAGAATAGTAAATCTAATCATTGTAGCCACTAGGTCAAATAAAATCTTATAATAAAAGGGATATGAATGTACATATAATATGGTTACTCAATAGTTACCATTCACTTATTCTTCTTCCGGATATAACAATAATAAAATCGTGTTAGTAGAATGTATGAATGACACTAAATTCAATAGGTCTAGAGCAAAATAAAAACTGAATAACATTTGTACTGTATTGAACAAGAACACCAGTGCGGTCAATCGAATGTATTTGACACTTAATTACAGAGCATCTCAATAAAATCTGAGAACGACACATCCATCATATCTAACTTGACTGTTCCTGTTGCAAACATCAATCCATTGTCTCAGATTTCGTTGTTCATGCGTTTTCATGCCAATTGCGTTTCATTCCCGTTCTTTCCTCATCGATCTTTTACTGAAATACATTCTACGCCTGACCACTGTCATATACTACTTGTGTGGATATAAGTAACCCACACCATAGTACTACCTTAACGGTGTCATGTCTTTCGTAAATTTTGACTATCATGCTTGATATGTCAACCTACTGACACACCTCATTACCTATATTCAGAGATTTCTATCCAATGATATCGCACATATTTCTCGTTGACTGTGAACGTTAGCCTTTTATAAACATGTCTCTATGCGTAACCATTGCTAAACATCCCAATAGACGGTATATCCTTCTGTTATAAACTATTTTACATCTATTAGGTGAGTATATTTTTCAGTTTGTTTAGATGATCAAAGCAAAATATTAGCTAGTTCATCTAAACATCAAGAAATGAACTGATCTTTATATTGATACAGTCATTCATTCTTAATATCGACGTACTCGTTTCAAGTCAGTAAGTTCTATAGAGTTTAGCCAACTAGATGTTTATTTTCATGGAATACTTTTGAGAACATAGAACAGTAGATGTTTTTTTAAATTTTTATCAGTTTGGAACTTTTTATCAACGCTCATCCACCATAATGTTAAATGGAATCAAGCTCGAGATTTCCATGTCACATGGCAAACGTGACTCCTCAATTGTAATATAACAGTTCATATTTTCAGCTTTGAGTCAGTTTGTAACAGCACAACGATATCCTTGACAATAGTTATCTTCTAGAATATTTGAACTTTATTGATCACAGATAGTCACACTTCGGGAATTGTTCGTGAAGACAGTTCTTATTGAATACATGATGATTAATTGGTTAATTGTTGAGTCTATGGCAGTTGTTTTACTCGACGATATATTATTTCATTTTGTTTGTTTTTTAGGCTTTAGTTTCTACTGACCAACCACTTCTTCTCGATATCTGTAATGATATTGATGTGAATAAACTTTTCAGTTCTGGTGATCATACAATTGGTCAAAACATTTTATTGTCCTTAATTCACCAATTAAGTTGTGGTGATTTAAGTGCTCAATTGGATTTAAAAGTCAAGTGAGTTTTCACATATGCTTATGTGTCCTATTAATTAGTATGATGATGTTGAGCTATGTTAAGCTTACAAAATGTTTATTTCATCATAGTTGGATACTACTTCAGTTGAATTAGCCTCAGTCAGTTAAGAGACACAGTGCAAGTATTTGCTGTTCCAAGTTGTTAATGTTCACATCATACGGTCGGTGATTAATAGATAGAAGGGAAATTAACTGGATTAAAATCATACGAATCAGAAAACCAAGTCGGCTTTTGCAAACTTTGCCTTACTTGTGATGCGCAAACGAGATATCCGTCTCTTAACTACTTTGGACCTGTGTAACGTAAATATTTGTAGGCTACTAGTATTTGTTCATAGGGGTCTCTAATGTCATTGTTCATGTATGTCGAGATCATCAATTTAGCTATTCTGAGGTTATGAACACTACTAAGTAAGGATGGCAAATCAAGTGACGAAGTAGTTAATCTTTATGGAGAGGACATGTACTGAGTATCCTCGACGTACGATAGTAGCTAGTGTATGAGCAGTCTGAAAGGAATCTGGGGACGGCTGATGCATGACGTGACGTCAGTCTATCAAGACACTGACTGTTGGACTGTGTGACTTAGGTAGGTGGAAACCACTTATTTGGAGTCTGCGTGATTATTGTAACCATTGATTAGAGAAATTGGGTAACGTAGCTCAAAATTGTTCGTAACGGCGTAGATCTATTCACTCTTTATCTTTCCATAAATCCTAAGTTTCTAAGTAATATAATAAATATTTCTACTACGCTAATCCATACTTCTCGAATAATCCTTTCCGTTACCTCTAATACTGTCAGCAATATACCCGCTGTCAATTAATTTCAAATTATTGCAGCATTGGGAGCTGACATAGCTTCAGATCACTACCTGCTTGTGATTTTCAAGATGTATCTGAAGCCAAAGAAGCACTGGATAGCTGGAGAAACAGCACTGCAAGGTTTGATACAGCCTTCTTTCGTGATACTAAAAAACTCAACAAATTCAAGATAACTCTTTACAACAGGTTCCAAGCCCGACTACATATGCTGGAAGAAGAAACTACTGTCGCCGACAACTGGAAAGAGATCAAAGTAGCGCTAAGTTCAGTGTGTCAGGAGGTTCTGGGTGTATTTCGAAACTCTAACCAAGGTTCAATAAAGGAAGAATAATAAGACAGCAACTGTTCAGTCAACCAAGAGGAGAGAAAGCCAAGGCACACGACGAATACACAGAAGCGAACAAGATTGAAGAGGAACGTTAGAACCGACAAGCAGAACTGCGTAGAAAACCTACACTGCAAAGTCGTGTATGGAGGACAGCTCATAAGTGCTTCCCAAGTGAGGACCGAAGTTAGACAAGGCTTCTCAATTCCTCCCTCTCTTTCTTCTGGTGGTTGACTGGATTATGAAGACCTCTCCATCTGAGGGTAAGCATAGAATACAATGGACAGCTTGGATGCAAATAGACAATTTGGACTTGGCAGATGACCAAGCTCTACTATCCCATACACACGAACAAATAAAGGTCAAGACAGCCAGTGTAGCAGCAGTCCCTGCAGCGGTAGGCCTCAACAAAGGCAAGGGAAAAAGCAAGATCCTCAAATCCAACACGGAGAAAACCTACCCAATCACACTCGCTGGAGAAGATCTGGAAAGTGGGGAAACTTTCACGTGCCTGGACAGCATCATCGATGAACGTGGAGGATCTGATGCAGACGTAAATGTGAGGATCGGCAAAGCAAGGACAGCATTCCTGTAGTTGAAGAATATATGGAAGTCGAAACAACTCAGTTAACATCAAGGTCACAATCTTCAATGCGAACGTCAATATAGTTCTACTAAAATGTGGAGAACTACTACAACCGTCATCAAAAAGATAAAAGTGTTTATAAACAATTGTCTGCGAAAGATACTGAACGTCCGTTGGCCGGACACCATTAGCAACAGCCTACCATGGGAGAGAACAAACCAGATTTCAGCTCAGGAAGAGACGCTGGAGATGGATAGGACATACATTATAGAAATCACCAAACTGCATCAGGAAGCAACTCCCAACTTGGGATCATAAAGGAAAACGGAAGAGAAGGAGGCCGAAGAACGTATTACGTCGGAAATTGGAAGCAGACATCAAAAGGGTGAATATCAACTGTTAAGGATTGTCTAGAATAGGATTGAATGAAGATTGCTGGTAGGTGGCTTATGATCCTCCACGAGGAGTAACGGGCGTACGTAAGTAAATATTGCAGTATTCAGTATATTGGGACATCTCAATAATCCCAAATTCTTTGTAAAGTACTTAGCGATACATTGACACGTATTTTTCACTCAAAATAAAATAAATTTATATTATTTTGTATTCATTGTTCTCTCTTTACCTAAATAAGTACATACTATTCAACAATGTTCATAGATTTCACAGATTGAAATTATGAGTCAATAGAAGCTAGAACACTATGGAAAACCTGGAAGCACTGGACGGCCGTTTCGTCCTAGTATGGGACTCCTCAGCAGTGCGCATCCATGATCCCCCATCTCGCGAGACTTGGACCCAGGATCTATCAGTCTCGCGCCAGGCGCTTAACCAACTAGACCACTGAGCCGGTTCGAATCTTGTGGAGTGCGGGATCGTGGACGAAACGGCCGTCCAGTGCTTTCAGGTTTACCATGGTGGTCTAGCTTCAATTGACTCATGATTTCAACTAGTGAAATTTCTAAAAAATCTCCACAAAACCCCTTCTGATAATGTTCATAAATGTTTATTTTCATATAATTTATTACTTTTTATTTCATTTAAAACAGATATCTTCAAGAAGCTATTCTTTGTCTTGAATTTGATGATCCTACTACATCAGTACATGGACCAGCAATATTACACTTACTTAATACACGTCTTGATACTTTACTAAATTCAACAAATAACAATAATAATAAAATTACAAATGCATTACGTAATCGTGTTATTAAATTAAATCGTACAGTGAAATGTTTATTTAAAGAAATTGCCTTATCTGATGATAAATAATAAACAATAATCATCAGTTTACCTATCCATTATTGTATGTTACATTATAATAATAATAATAATAATGACAACTTAATTCATTTGTCTTTCTTGTTTTCACTTTCATTGTTACACTATTCATTTGGTTTAGATTTTATTCTTGACTACAATAATCAACCAATAAATAAACAAAAAAAAACTACATCTTGAGGGTGAATGTAAGTGACCGGTTCTTACAATTCCACATATACGTATCAGTACATGTCATTATTATTATTGTTTTTGACATTTTGAAAACGAGAACTAAAGGAGTTTGTTGTTTTTTTGTGACGATTTCATAATCATCTTGATGAAAAGTTTATTTGTGTACTTTACTGTTTTGTTTTCATTTCTCAAATATAATTAATTAATTAATTAATTATTATTATTATTACTATGATTACTAGGTCGTATTACATTTCTCAGTAATGTTTAAAAGTTTAATGATATAATATCATTATAAAATCACGTCGATTATGTTACTTACTTACTTACTTACTTACTTACTTACTTACTTACTTACTTACTTACTTACTTACTTACTTACTTACTTACTTACTTACTTACTTACTTACTTACTTACTTACTTACTTACTTACTTACTTACTTACTTACTTACTTACTTACTTACTTACTTACTTACTTACTTACTTACTTACTTACTTACTTACTTACTTACTTACTTACTTACTTACTTACTTACTTACTTACTTACTTACTTACTTACTTACTTACTTACTTACTTACTTACTTACTTACTTACTTACTTACTTACTTACTTACTTACTTACTTACTTACTTACTTACTTACTTACTTACTTACTTACTTACTTACTTACTTACTTACTTACTTACTTACTTACTTACTTACTTACTTACTTACTTACTTACTTACTTACTTACTTACTTACTTACTTACTTACTTACTTACTTACTTACTTACTTACTTACTTACTTACTTACTTACTTACTTACTTACTTACTTACTTACTTACTTACTTACTTACTTACTTACTTACTTACTTACTTACTTACTTACTTACTTACTTACTTACTTACTTACTTACTTACTTACTTACTTACTTACTTACTTACTTACTTACTTACTTACTTACTTACTTACTTACTTACTTACTTACTTACTTACTTACTTACTTACTTACTTACTTACTTACTTACTTACTTACTTACTTACTTACTTACTTACTTACTTACTTACTTACTTACTTACTTACTTACTTACTTACTTACTTACTTACTTACTTACTTACTTACTTACTTACTTACTTACTTACTTACTTACTTACTTACTTACTTACTTACTTACTTACTTACTTACTTACTTACTTACTTACTTACTTACTTACTTACTTACTTACTTACTTACTTACTTACTTACTTACTTACTTACTTACTTACTTACTTACTTACTTACTTACTTACTTACTTACTTACTTACTTACTTACTTACTTACTTACTTACTTACTTACTTACTTACTTACTTACTTACTTACTTACTTACTTACTTACTTACTTACTTACTTACTTACTTACTTACTTACTTACTTACTTACTTACTTACTTACTTACTTACTTACTTACTTACTTACTTACTTACTTACTTACTTACTTACTTACTTACTTACTTACTTACTTACTTACTTACTTACTTACTTACTTACTTACTTACTTACTTACTTACTTACTTACTTACTTACTTACTTACTTACTTACGTACTTACTTACTTACTTACTTACTTACTTACTTACTTACTTACTTACTTATATGAGGTTGGAGGTTCGCCATTGGTATTGTGGATGGTTCAGCATTACTTTGGCAAGTTTTGTTGACTGTTCATGTGCAAAATTGGTTTGTTTGTTAACCGATTTCATTCATACTGTTGGTTGCTTTTCAGTGTTCTCAAGAGTCATTGGGACATTGTAAGACATGTCGCCATTGCTAACATTATTGAGTTTGACTGTCGTGTAAGTGGGATAGGTCAACTTTGGCCTGTTCGTGCTGTGCACAGTTGATTCACATGATCATTGATCGGAATAACTATACATATGACGTGAATGCGGATATGAATGGTGCGAATGGTCCACCAGGGTGCTGGCATCTGTGTTGTTGCGCCGCATGATTGAACTGTACTTTTCATATTGTAGCGTCAAAGCCTATATGGTGTCTGGTTCTCCTGCGAAGCGGGATTGAGCTGTACTGCTCGGGTTATAAAGTTTGAGCTTGGATGGTGCCTGGCACTCCTGTTACATGGGATTGAGCTATACTGTTTGGGTTGTCACGTGGGAGTCTGGATTGTGTCTAGTTCTCCTGGAATCCAATGTAAAATTACCCTGACCCACAAGGGTATATTATATAATTATATTCATTATGACATATTTTAGTAACTGGACACGAAGTTATAAATAGTGAAATTTCAAATCTTTGGTTTAAAAAATAAGGCTGATGTACAGTTAAAACCAAAAATAAAATATGACTCTCGAATAGCTCTTAAATCAATGGTAGAAATCTTTCAGCTAGTCATCGTGTTCACTTAAAAAAAATGTCTTTCCGTCTTAAAATATACAATAAACAAAAATATCCTCATTACATTGAATTAATGGCTTCATTTTCATAAAGTATTTTACTGACCAATCGGGAAAAACAAGTGTTCTATTTATAGCATGTACGTCGTCGTAAGTATATTTATACTTTCGTTTCGGTTACTTTAGATCTGGATTAATTGAAGTCGAATAGCGAGACAGTTGGATGCTGGCTCAGTAGTCTAAGGGTTGTATTTGTGTGCAACATCGACTGTCTTAGGTTCGGTTCCCGCGTGAGAGATTGTGGATGTGCACTACCGAGAAGTTCCATGGTAAAACGAAACGGCCATCCCAATGTTTCCAATAGTTATCTAACTTAGACCGGTTCATGATTTCAATAAGGGAATATTATGTTGGAGCTATATGTTGCTGCTATATTGAGTTTAATTCGACGTTCAGACTAAGTATCCTCTAGGTTGAAACGTTATATTATTATAAAGCTTACGTCCTTATCTCAGGTAATAGAATTACCTACCACAACTTCAAAAGGAGGTGAGCACTGATTATTGTATACAATATGTCCTAAACTACTTGGTACTGAGAACATGGGTTCATACTAGCTATTGTGTCAAACTGATCCTTGACCATCCTTTTGTTGTATGGCCGATTGGAAATATATCTGGTGATATCAGGTATTTAGACATTACCTAGTATTCTTACACTGTCGATCCAGATTTTTATCAGCTGTTGTCACGACTACAGGCAAATAAATTATAAGGTCTCGCAGAAACACAAATTATTATTACTTATCATACCTTACACCAACACGGATAACAGAACCATATGACCTTCACGACATAGAGCAAGACGAGTAAGAACTGTTTCTTCACTACGATTACTGTTTCCTATCCATTTAGTTGAATGCCTAGCTGGAGATTACAGTCTCGCTATGTATCCTCAACTAAATATATTTGAACTTTCATAGTTGGTTCTTCAACAGTTGTATCGCAAGAAAACTGGCCCTGATTCAAGCAGATGGACTAAACTAAGACGAGAGGCGACTTGGTGAATCTTACGGTGTTGTAGATCAGCGAAATGATAGTGACGACCGTCTGCTGAAACTATGCTCGGGTGACCATCTATTTCCAGCAAGCACCAACTCAGGCCAAAAGGAAATACATTTTCTGACGTGGCGAACCCCACAATCGACCCAGACAGACCATATTGTCATCAGCTATCGCAGAAGAGGCTCGGCGGGAAACCGCCGCTTATTCTGTAGCATATGTTCAGGCTCGGACCATGTTCTTATTCGAACACGTATTTTTCTGCACCTCACTTAACGTAGAAAACCCGCAGCAAGAAATCTGGGTTTCATCGGCGTCTACAAAACTGACTGGTGCTCGGAAACTCATCCTATCTGGCTCAAAAGAAGAGGAGCGGAGGTAGCTTAAACGTAGGTTGATAAAAAAAACTCGCGCATTGATCGTGAGCAGACGTGGATAGCAAAAACGGAACAGACGGAAAAAACAGTAGGTAGCTGTTCAGACTTCTCAGACAAACGGGTATCAAAAATCCGGCTGTTAGTAAGGCCATCTTGGAAAAATACGGGACTATCTTTCACTTAACCCAGCAGATTGGACCGATGGGCGGAACATTTTAGGTAACAGTCCAACTGGCCTTCAGTTACTCACTATCTCTAAGCAACACGAGTGGCGAGTTGACGAAAGTTCTCCAAATCTCGACGGGGTTGAAGAGGCTGTAAGCAATCTAAAGCGAGGAGGAGCAGCAAAGCCTGGTTAACTGGAGCCTGAGATATTTAATAAAAGTCTAGTTCTGACTATTAAATTAACTGAGATTTTAGCTAAACTTAATACCATTAAAATGATCCCGATCGCTGACCGTTAAAGTCTTATCACCTGAAGCAACAATGCAAGTAAATAATGGAGTGCGGTTAGACTTTTGACGACATGGTTCAAAATCGTCTGCAACGGCGCAGGCTCATCTCCCAAATTCTTCATGACTTCGCTTTTGTCTCACTAATTAACATTTTGTTGGATCACATTTTTGATGCTTAACGTTTCCTGTTACCACTGGTACTGTTACTACGTACCATTCCGGGATTTGTACAGACAATTTTATGCCTCTATGCTAACGAGGTATAGCACTTTAGACAGGTATCCAAAGTACTAGGTTCTACGTCGTGGTTGACTGATGTGGATAAACACAACTATTGAGATGTGAGACGGCGTTTCACCCCCACGAGACTGCAAATCGCAAAGATCCCTGAAACCACGCGATGTTACTCACTACTTTCGGAAACATCAAGCTTCTAATTACCTTTATACACTTCTTATATTACAAGAAAGCCTTCTGTATTATTTACACATTTTTCCCACAATCAAAAGGACTTGAGATCTGAACTACAGTTATATTTTAGGTTTCTTAGAAGCGTCTTAAGATTTCAAGCTCCACTGGTAACCAACTTATCTCCAAGGAGAGCAGTTCTCTGGTCAAAGCCTTCCATGCCGAAATCGTCTACTTTCCAAGCAGTGGAGAATTCCGGTTGACCCTAGGACACATAATTATGTATTCCGAAAACTTACTGGCCACATTTGCCTTCTATAGGCTTTAGATTTTACTGTCTTGGCGCACGTTTCCCAGTTCTGAGCAATGATTAATGTTAAATAAGTAACATACATCACAGTATTTGATACGATACCATGCGAACCAAAACAATATTAATGTACATGTAACCTTCGGTATAGTAGCACGAAAGTACCAACTTCTATGATCTCCCTTAACGTGAAATAAAATTGGATGCAAACTTACGATT